AGGTGACCAAAGTATCACACGCAATAAATTTTACCGGAGGGCAGGTACTCTATTACATATTGTCGTTGTTTTCACATATGCTATTCTTTCATCAAGAAGCAATTCGATAGGATGCCTGACAGCACTCTAAATCACAGCCCCTTCAAACAAGACAAACCACTTTTTCAAAGCAGCCTGTATCTTTTTTTCATAAAAACTACTCACAAGGCTATTGAAGAATCTTCGACAGCCAACAACTGGTTTTGACCTTCTAGGGGCTGATCAAGGAGGCGCAGTCCCCGAGTTTTCGTCCGTATCCTGCTTTTGTGTTTTGTAAAGTACTTAACACCGCACTTTGCCTGCGTGAAATCGGCCATTTCGTGCACATATGGTTGTTGCTACCCTATAGGTGTCATTCATCATGTGATGCGGGCTAATCTGCATCTTTTGACTCACTCTCTTTACCCCAAACCACTCATTAATTGCACCCATTTTTCAGATAGTCCTCAAATTCGTCCAAAAATGTGTACTCCACCAACCAAATATCGACCGGTCACGGACAGAAGCATATCACCCAAAGGGAGCTGCATGACTAAGAAATACGATTAATGGTCAGTTGAAGACCATTAATCAGTGTGGTGGAATGTACACTTACTCTTTTCTATTTTCGTGCCCGAAATCCTCGTGACCAGCTCTTGGTTACTAGTTGTCCAGTGGTCCACTGTGTCTCTAGAGCCAGGCGTGGAATTCATCATACACTAAGTCACTTGGGTGTCATTTTTCACGTATCACAAATGTAGGGCGGTGCAAGCATAGAATAGACCCAAGAATATAAGCAGTGTGGAAGATGTTCTGCTTAATTTGACAGTTTTACCACATCATCCGCAGCACCATCAGGCTCCCTTCAAAATAATTTCCCAATGGGTTCCTTTTGGTAGAGCTTACCTTATGTGAAAAGTGGCATGCATCAGAATTGTTCACTATGAATGTTAAAACGGAAAAAGGGACGAACGCTCACCAAAGTCTCAAAAGCTGAATTTATGCTGTCCGAAGAATTACAGTAAGTTTCCATCATACATTAGGTTCCGCCGTGGCTCCAGTCTGAGCCTCAAGAGCCAGCAGTTGTGCGCGGTCCCAGTGAAAGTGGTTTTGATCACATCATTTCAGAATTTTAATTGGTCTTATATGTATCAGTTAATTGATGCAAAATATAATGTGACCGGAAAGCGATTGAATCTACCAAAGAAACCAATGTCATGATCGAAAATTACCAAGAAAGCACTTGTACTAGCCATAGACTGCACTGATAGTAGGTTTTGCAAAGTGTAAACATTTCCTAAAGGGAAGACACTGAAACCTCGGACTGCGTCTTAGTACAGCAAATGTACTTATGATACAAACACTACAGGACATCACTGGATAATAATATCAGTGGAATTCTATTTGGCCATTATAAGAATTACTTACTGCGAATTACAGGATTACGTGATAGGAACGATAGCTAAAGAATTCCTTTGCAAATTTAGAGATGATTCTCCCATCTCAAAAATATCAATAGCAAGGGTGCTTCTATTGGTCGTCTTGCGGATGACAATTTACCTGTTCTAGGAGCTTGACAGTTGGCTTATCTGCAGATGAGAATATGGTGCATGCTCGACGCCGTTCAACATATAATGGCAAAGTATTTACCAAGGACTGTGAGAAATCACCCACTAATTGCTTGGAAGAATGCACTGAGTTACTTCTCTGACACGTTTTGGAACATACCTCACGAATTTCTACGGAGCAAACCCGCCGGGTAGTCGTTAAACACCGTAACATTTGAAAAAACATTGCCTGTTAAGGCTTTGGCTACCTGGCATATCTCATCCCTTGTGCTTCCTTCGGGGACATGGCAGTTAGGCACCGAAAGGGTACTACAACTGAACGATTTTTTAAACGTTACCGACAAAAGATGTAGGTTGGCACTGCAGTAATGTTCCATGCTGCCCTTTTACCATGACCACGTGGGTCGTCATGCAATTACTGTCAAGTGGATTTTTGAATGGTGGTTGTTTAAATCACAAATCCATGAAACTTTCTGATCTGCATTTCCCAGCCGGATGCCAAAAATTAATACGCATGACATCATCACTGAGATTACTGCTAAGGTAGTATAAGGTGTGTGTAAATAAGTAACCCACAAGCTGGTACTACCCAACCAAGCATAAATTCCATTCTTTACACGACCTGAGTTTCGTGAAAATCATTTGAATTCTAATGAATCTAGTAGACATTGTAGTCCGTTGCAAAACCAGTAACCAGAAATAGAAACCTATGAATTAAAATTTTATATATTTGTTACATAGTCCAAACAATATTTATGTCGTTTAGGTTTCACTGAGGTTCCTAAGATATATTGAAGGGAGTGAACAAAAGGATGCGTGTCATATTCTATCAGAATGGTTCTGCTCACCGTGCCACTTATATTATTGCAAGCTGATTTGTTCAGTCATTTCACAGAACATCACTGTTCAATAGAAAGTCGGAAAGCAACATTAGGTGGAATTATTTTCAGGTATTAATAAAATGACAAATAAGTAGAAGCAAGAGTCCTCCAACAGCATAAAAGTCATGATTTTGCCAAAGCGTGTCCTTATCTGTTGCTCTAATAATCTTGCACTGCACAGACAAACTTTGAACTGGCAGTGGAATAGTTTCTCGTTTTTCTTTGTTCATTCAAAGCAGAAAAAGTCAGCATCTTCTGAAGATGTTTCTGAGATTCATTGCTTTCGTTTCGTTTTGAATCAACAATGCTGTATCACCGTTCTTCAAAATTTATTCAGTCACACACACTAACTCTTGATTGAGTACACTGTGCCTTACCATGATTCTAAATCGAGCACTTGGGGAATGGTCTGAGCCCAGCCAAAAGCCTTTTACGCACAATGCAAACCGTCCGAACGTTGAGTGTCACTAGACGTTTCTATGAATGACATGCTCTTGTTTCTTGAACACAACAATTTTCACATGATCAGGTGGATTATATATTATTAGTCATTTATTTTCTAAGGCTGTGATGTTTCCTTTGAATGCTTCTATAAGAGTGCTGTAAGTGCTTATAGTGCCAGGGTGTTTGCACGCACCTATGGAGCATTGGTTGACGTATCCTCAGAGTACATTTTCTGCGCACTAAATAAGGCAAATATGACTGGTAATAAATATTTTACGTGCCTCACTTATAACATAAGGGATAGAATGTTGAACCTTCACCAGAGATTATAACTTTTCACACGAGTTATTTTACGCCATTTTTTGCGTACACGGATGGTTTGGGAAGCCCCAAATATTTTCCGTCGAACCAAGGCTCCGTCTCTCCCACAGCAAAAACACCTGATCCCAACTTTACAGGAAAGCAATGTATGGACATTAGGAACGTATTCGTATGAAAACGCTCGGGATTTTTGAAAAAAATGCCTGTTCAAATTTCAATTGCTTGTGCATCTAATGGCCACAATGTTGTTGGCGAGATTAAATTAAGTTGGCAGTGAAATTACAAAAATAAGTTCTAAATACTGGAAAATGTGAAAAGATTGTTGCCTTAACACTCTGTTTATTAAATTATGGTTGTAATTGAAGGCACATTCTAAATTAATAAGCTTTTGTACAAATGTGATGTTTGTATTTGGGTAAATTAACATAAATAAATTTCTTGATCAGGTCGACCAGATTGAACCACATTTCACAGCGCTAAGGCCAGTTTTAAATATCAACAGCAAAGAGGCCTAAATAAGTCGTTATGTGACTGGATTTTAGCAGTTGGGATTAGTCACGGCCAACTTGCTTCTTCAGTGAAATTTGCATTCAACATACTCAGGGACACTACTATCTGGCAACGATATCTGATTTCACTAAAGGCCTTTGATGGTGATTCCCTGTTTCTCGAGATTCTTGTCGAAGTTCGACATATCACTAAGAGTCTACTGAAAGATATTTGTTTTCAAGTAACTGGCGTAAATACCAGCATTTATGGCTTTCGTCTTGTAGATTGTTTGGAGTGTTACAGGTAATTGCCTTTTTGGCCTGGATTTTTTGTGATAGCAGTGCCTATTTAACAATGTCATATTTACAGAGTGGTAATAAAAAAAGATACCAAATAAAAACACATGTTCAATAAAAATATGGTTACCCGTTGGAGGAAACTGGCATAAAAACTATGCGCTGGAGGCTTTGTGCGATTTTATCATAAACAAACACGTGCCAGCCGAGTTGCGCAATTTCGACCTGCTATAATTATATGGGGTTAAGAACTGCAGAAAAGCAACACCAAGATGTGAAAAGACAAGAAGAAAATCACCCTAAATTAGTGCAATTTGGAACAAACCCTACTTATTTGTTCCTGTTCTTACTTACGTGACTGAGTTACCGAGTATCTCGCACAGTTAACCAACACAATCTTTTCTGGGGTGTCGTTTGAAAACTATTTGTGGTGAAGGTCGCTTTTCTATTTGCATGGCTGTATGGTAACGTTTGGCTTGTCCAATTGGATTTTCCATTAAAGTTTCGGAGTCCATTTTGATGCGTTTAGCTTAATTTTGTGGTCAGCATATATATCTCGATTCTATTTTTATGAACTGTGCTGTGCCCAAAAACCATCTTACGGGGGACGAACATTGTCATTTTTTTAACCACCAGATCAGCAGTGTCTCTAACTTACTGCGGGGGGCGGTATGTGCGAACGTACACGTACACGCGTAGATAAACACAGATGTCCGTTTCCATCCAATCCCCATTTGACCAGTCAACGGATGATGCATTTCCCACAAACAGAATCCCTTCTCCCAGTTCATAAACTCAAATAGCCATTCGTCCAATGATACTCATTACATATGAAACTCAAAAACACCTATAAAGCATGGACCCAAAGTCACTCGACTAGTATAACTCCCTTTAGCGACAAATTGGAATCGTTCCACAATACAATATTGGGTGTGTTGGTGTCCACTCTGTTATTTAGGATATAACTCACATGAACTTCTGAAATGTGCGTTACCCTATGTCCAGCACAAACTACTCTTACTATAAAGCCAACATCAGCATCAGCATCTGCGTTTTGGACTGACAAACGTGGACATTACTCACGACTTTCCTTTGGGATTGCAAGTTGGATGAGAACATTTCTGATAAAAACACTACTTTCGCTTGTGGTAAATGCCTTCATTCAAACAGAGTTGCGATGTCTGAGAAACTATTCTACCATCACTATGACGTCTGCGCTTATTGTAAGACCTAGATTTTCTGGACCAGCCCCATATTACTTTCAAGCACCAACTAACAAACAGATAACATTCCAAGAGCGAAACAATGCCTTGCACCGTGGATTATTTACACCTTGGGAATCTGAAATAAACAGCACATCAGACGTCGAAGAAACTCCAAATGAATCAGAAATGAAAATGACGAAAGGGCGCATCTTGTCGGAGGCAGAATCATCGCCTCACCAACCGTGCCCCAGCTCAATCTGGGGGCTTCCGGGAGAACAATGTGGCAATTCTGTTGTGGCGGATAACACAATTTCGGACGAAAAATACGCTCACGAAGATGAAAAGATCATAGCACTCTTCCAACAACGAATGCTGAAGCAACTAAACTTAAAGGAGCCCCCCAAGGTGACCAACTCATCTTGGTCCTCTATCCCGCGGTTTTTGCAGCGACAGCTACAACATACAATTGAAGGCCACAATCACATTTTGGAAGATCCAGTTGAGCAGAACGAAGAAAAAGAGGTCCTAGTTCTGCTACAACCTCGTAAGTAGTGTTGTTGGCTACATTCTTCCTACATTTCTTCATATAACATGCTAATGTAGCCCTTGTTGAACTGGAAACAAAAGATTGGGTACTTTGGGCTCATTATGCTGCGTGGGTAGTATTTTCTAACAATTGAGGCCACAAAGAAGCTTGCGTACAACAGTGTCCAAACATAGGTGCAGAGCCGCGACACGGCAAACAAAAACATTGTTGCTTATAGAATGGTTATTTGATTTGTGCATATTGATTGAAATAGCGTAATAGGCTGGAAGATCCTAGTGTAGCTGTTTTCCAATTATTTATACATTCAGAATTTATTGCAATGATAACAAATCCTAAGCACTGACGTTTAGGAAACAATGGCAAGTTTGAATTCCCATTGTGATGAATTACTAAAGTTCGAGGTTCTTCCCCATTAAATAGGTAAGAAGCGATATGAGCTCAAAGTCCCTCTCCTGTAAATGCGAAGAAGCGAGTTACACCTTTTTGGCTACAATAGAGTTAACACTTGAGAGCATTTTTAGCCCACAAAATGGAACTGCCTGTAGTTGACTCTACGCCACACCATACTAGGACGAAAATTCCTTTTCCACATCTGCTTCCTGATCTCGAGTCATTGATCAGCCAGATGAGTGTAAGTCGCATCTTTTCGTCGCATATAAAAGTGGCTTTCAGAATCAAGTAAAAGGACAACCTTCACTGCTGAACCTTCGACATGGTACATGATTCCACGAAGCGTTTAGCTATTTTTATATTTCCACCTTCGATGTTTGCTTCCAAGGCAACTAAGTATTCGTGTTCTCCTGTGGTGCTGTTATCATTTATGATGACTTTATTGTGTTCCAAATATTTTACACATAACTTTTTCTATTTCTAATCACCCGCATCTTTTCCTCTGACTAAGTGTATGCAATTAACCATCAGTTGCATTGTTAACTTATACGATTCCGTGCTGTAGGTCTTGGAAATCGCAGAGGAATGTTGTTTGACAAGATAGTAGTATATCCTCTTATCACCCACCCATCTACTTACTATTTCCTGTCCCACTGTCGTGGACTTAAAATGTAAAATAACAGGGTGTGTGATTCTGAGGCATTTAACCGAAACGAATGCACCAAATTCTGGTCCATTTGAACAGTCTTGCATATTCCTTTCGGAGTTAATTTACCTTTCAATGGAAAACGGGCACAGTTGGCCACCGCCCATTTATCAAGAGGCTCTTCTGTTTCCATCACTGATATGGATTTTCGATAACAAAAGGATGGTCAGACTACTCAAAAGCAACCTAAATTTTGTGTCAGCAAATAAAATATGGCAGTGCCATGGTATTTATTACAAGAACAGGTAGACAAATTTTAACCTAACATGCCTGTTCCTACACAGGCCAAACAAGGATAGATAAATCTTCTTGAGTTTCACAAGAAATGAGCTAGCATGAGACACTAAAACTACATTTCTGTACCAAGTCGCTTTACTGCGTTTGTTATCTTTGATCATCCGTTGGTTTCATACTACCGCAGACTTCTTTGCGTAGTCTCAACTAGTGATTTCGCGACGAGGGCATGTCCAAAAGGGATGAAACAGTCGTTTTCCGCTTTGAATACAATGAAAAAAATATACACTTCGGAAATTGGAAAACCATGCAATATATAATATTCTGGAAGAGAACAACCGCACACCCGTGAGAATAGACCATCCTGTCAAGAAAGCCTCGTGGCAGCAAGTAGGACATAATTAAGCGGGATTTTAACGAAGGCTTAGAAGGTGTTTTTGTTCGGCAGAACTCGACTTCCTTTGTAAACTTACTACAACCATTGGTTCCTTTTAATTGACTGTCACGATCACAATACATCTGAAAACATCCTTCAGCCGATTGACTTTTATGCAGAAGAGTCCAGCTTGGTAGTTCCATCCATGACAATAAACCGAAGTTTCCAAGCCATAAAAACGCGTATTAGCCGAAATATCGATTGAAAGTGTCCAGTTTCCAAAACGTTTGCTCACTTGCATGCCAAAATAGTTGTTAAAATACAATAACATGTAATGAGACAGTAATCTGTTTTATTTTAACATTTGAAATTATATTATAAAGCGGTGAATGATGAGTTACAGATTCAACAATGAACTCCATGCTACGTTACAAGACCTCTAGACTTATTATATACCTACGGTAATTTGCATACAGTGTTTTCCCACAAGGGGGTGGTGGCAGAACAGTGTTATTCCTGACAAAGTAGTGTAACAACAGCTCAGTGTATTAGCTCTCGTATTTTTAAATGTTTACTCCAGCTCTCCGAGAGAGTGCAAGTCAGTACATGAAAGAGTGCCTCTTAGGATAGAGTTCTTCCAGTGGAGCAAGATTTTTTGCCTCTTCGGAGCGTGCGTGCTCTCCGTAGGAACACTATATATAATGGTTTTAATGAATATTCTGTCCTGTAATTGGAGCCGGTCCAGGCTAAAAAGCCGAGAATCACCGTTCAAGTATTTCAACTTTACTGAGAACCATCAAAATTGCATATCTTGCGAAACCCCGGGGAATCTCCAACCCAAGACCTCCAGACCAGTAGATTAGACATCTGACCGTTTGGATAAAGGGAGCCGAGAGTCGAACTAGCGAAAGTAATTCAGTGTGCACATACCTACGAGTCCACAACTAGCAATCTAATAGACTAGCAATGGAAGTTTGTGATGTCTTAACGTAAAAATTGAAAATCGTCTTTTTTCGGTCGAGTTTCTGGAGTTGGTGTAATGCGGTAATTACCCTCAACAATCGTAGGTCAAAATTATTTAAGAGGATTGGGTCGATGAGCAAAGTGTTATCAAAAATCCCAACACGAATGGTTGCATGTTTAGTTTCAGTCAGCTGGATTGCCCGAATTTTTTGCATTTGTATGACACCTATTTCATGTGGAGAAAAATTCAGACCTAAAATGCCTCGCATGTCATTCACTCGGATACACCAAGATCTGCTCCACTATTTTATCGGGACGAAATCCGGTGAATAGCATCATCTTAAGTCATTTTACTGGCATTATCCAATACGACAACACATCATTTGGCAGATTTCAAATGCAGATATAGTTCTAGAAGTACGATAAAAGACTTCTTAACCAAGTTGAGTAAACAATATTTTCGGGTTAGTTTGCGGTTATGAAGAACTATAGGAGTTTCGAATGAGCATTAGTTGAAAAACACTGACAAATGTGTGAAAATGTATGTGGGGAGGCGGCACAGTTGGAAGTCCGAAGCCAAATAATTAACCATTTTGTAAAATTGTTAAACCAGGATTTATTTGCGATTAAGCAAAATACACTCACTGGCTTGTAGCTCCGCCGAAGTGGAGTTTAAAATTTCTTCGGGGCAAGATAGTCTGGAAAGGCCACCGTAACACCGGATTTGAAAACCACAAAACTACTCCACTGGTAGGTAAACATTTGCCTTTTTTAAATAAAAAACCAGTCATTTTTAACTAGTTACCTTAGACATTTTGGGGCTTCCAGTTTTGATTAAGTTTTCATTATCAGGATTTCGCCCAACCAGTAAAACAAACGCTGGTAGAAATGAAGATATTTTTGGAAATACTTAGACAACATACTCTTTTTTCATTATCAGGATTTCGCCCAACCAGTAAAACAAACGCTGGTAGAAATGAAGATATTTTTGGAAATACTTAGACAGACATACTCTTTGTGAGTCTGAAAACGTCCACGAAATCCCTTTTCATGGCTCGGAAATGTCAGACCACGTAATTCCAATAATAATAAAAATAATATTAATAATAGTTCATTCGAATTTTATGTCCAAATTTTACTTGATTTTTGTCCTCCATAAACTATCAAAGCATTCTTGGCAGTTTGCTTCTCGATAAGGTGATTGAGCACGTCCAATTATCCAGCTGTTTACGATGGTAATGAGTAATATATTCACGCATTAATAGCAGTTCCTGAATTTCCTATAACAACAACCATTGCGCAGTCTTTGGCTAAATAACCTGATCTGTGCATCAAATTGGCCATTCATCTACTGAAGACTTCTACTCATCCTTTTATCATTTATTAAAAATTATATGAAATGTATATGATATACTGGTAATATCACAAAATTTTTCACTAGTCTGTCAAATTTACTCGTGTGGATGTTTTGGTAAGTCCAGGTAAATTTGCTGTGTAGGCTTGGTGAATGAAAGGCGACTAAAACTAAGGCTGTGTGTATAAATACATCTGAATTCTTGTATGAATTACATACATAAGTTGGGAATAGTCAAAAGGAGTTCAGAGAAACTTAGTGAAATAGTGCTAATGTTGATGCCACAATTTCCGTGACCCCCAAATTCAAACTTATCTCTATTTCTTCCACACAGTAGAACAACTCAGTATTAAAAGTTACTTTAGATATACTTCAAAGTCCCGTGAAAACATTCAAAGTGCCACAAGACATCATAGCATGCTATTGGATCACTGGTAGACATGCGTTTATGTAATTTTAGAGTTCTGTGGAAAAGTTTTGGCTTGAGATAGAAGCATGAGTTTGTAAAATAATTTCCTTACCCCAGGCTCAGGATCCTACAAGTCCCGCTTTACAAAAGTTATCAAATTCAACATCCGAATTAATCCCCGTATCGCCGATAACAATTAACTGTGCTTTCTAGCGCTCAAACATTTATTAAGCACAATGGCGTAAGGGTGAATTTGCATCTTTCACTTCTTTGCTGACGATCAAGCAATTTTCGCAAGCACACTGTTACTATTCAGGTTGTTCTTATCTACCATCTACTGTATGCCCAATAACACCAAATTATTTTTACAATTTTCACATTTTTGAGATACCATCCCTCAAAGATATATAGATTACGCTTGATACCTGAAAGCTGTCAATAATACTTGAAACCATTGTGAAGGCACATCATATTTGGTCTACGGATCACTATGCTGTCATACGCGTTTTAAGCCTGTCTTGGAAGGAACTAGTGAAACGATCCACCACTATTCGACGTGGGGTGTGGTGCCAGTACTCCCCTGGGTAAAGGCTCAATTTATTGAACACCTTTCCCCAACAGCGTAAACCACGCCTTGTGCGATTTCACAGGTTAGTTTATTCGACGTGGGGTGTGGTGCCAGTACTCCCATGGGTAAAGGCTCAATTTATTGAACACCCTTTCCTGAACAGCGCAAACCACGCCTTATGCAAATTCACAGGTTAGTTTGTCTGTATGGTGACTGATCATTACGAGTTAGCAATAAGCGGAGATTTTGTTATCCTTCAGGGATCATACAAGTACAAGTTTCGTTGAGCGTGTTGAAGCTTCCCTACGATGTAGGTTGGTATGAACCTTTAAACCAGTTATGTGTAGCGTCGAAGACTAAGGTGTACGCCTTCAATTCGCATTCGCATTTACACTAGTTGACGGTTTGCTGACTTAATCACCAGGTGTGTTATGCTAGCAGACACACTGTTGCTACTCACCTGCAGCCAACCGAATTCAAATACATCATACAGATTAAAAGCATCCCTTCGCTCTAAGATACAACGATCTTATTAGCCTATAGAAATACCTGTCCACGTAGAGATAGTTACAAGCTTTTGAACAGTGATGATTTCACTTGAAATTATGCTCGCGTTCAAATATGCTTGTGGAAACAAAAATCATCTAATCTTGATGTCTTTCCCTGTGAAGGGAGACATCAGAACGTACAAGGTCATAATTCAACTATACTATACCCACACCATGCTATAAATAAGTTTGTTTTATCGTTTACTCTTTCAGATCCTATTCAGCTCAGAAAAATTCCGTCTCTAGCTTTCACTGTGAAGCTTGTAGACTACATCGATGATCGACACATTCTCCGGGCGCGCATACATGCGGAGGTATGATTCAGCGTGATCTGATAATTTTTGTTATTTCTCATAATATTTGAGACTATATTGGAGCTTATAAATTTATTGTGACAATTCCGCTACTCGTTGTTTAACAGATAATTAGGGGAATTTTTGCTGAAAATCAAGTGGAAAAAGCTTATTTTCGATTTTGTTTGACAGCTCTTTCTTATACACATCGCGCTCAAGTAGGACTACGGCTCACCAGTGAAGTCATATGCTTCAGATGCATTTGATTTGCGCCGGTAATGCTCTGGTTGTCAGTAGGTTGATCCCGAATGTCACATATCTGGAGATAAACCCCTACAATGCCTAAGTAATTCATTCTTTATGCCATGTGTTGCCAGGAAAGAGTCACAGACTTTGAGTACTTGTTTAGAGTCCAGAAAACAGGGACCAAGTTTCTAGGATCAGAGGAACAGGTTGCGGAACTGGCTTTGAAAGGCCTACAATTCTGTTTCGTTATTATTATACTGTCTTTAATATGGGCTTCAATGTAAATGTCAAATTGTTGGCTACAACAGTTCATGTCTCTAAACTGGAACGGTCAATTTGATTAATCATTCTGGATATTTTTCAGGCCTTCAGAGAACTACCTTATGGTTCGGAAATCAGTCTTTGGGAGATAGTCCGACCTTGGCCCGGAAGTCATACGAGACATCCAAAAACTCAGTCATATGATCCCTGGGACGAAACGCATGTATTTTTATCCGGCTCTGGTGCACAGCTTTCGGAGGACGCCTACCCTGATGAACGTGGGGTAACACCCTTTGAGGATATCTCCGTTGTTGGACAAAAGGTGGCGTCTGCTCTCGTATACCTGGATGAATCCGATAAGGTCACCTCTGTGACGTTTAACATTACATCCAGATTGGTTCAGTGGATCAAACACCGCAACCGAATGGTCCTAAATGGTCGAGAGAAGATAAATCACAGACCATTTGTCAAACACCTGCTTTTGATATGTCCAACATGTGCTGGCAGTCAAATCCCAATTGATCCACGAAAGGTGAGTGTTTACTGTCGTTGAACAAATTTTCTTGAGATTTTCTTGTTCACAGTAAACAGACGGCAAGCAGTCCACGGTCCTCTACCTTTAAAAAGCTCTTGGAATTTGACATATTAATCAGCTATGCGCCATGAACCGCTGCATGTCTGTCTGTTTATCAGGCGCTGTGTTAATCACATTTTGGCACGTTTCAGTGCACCTCACCTACCACTTCTCAACAATGGCGCGTAAAGCTGACTCTCTTATTTTGTATCAGCTCTTCAACGAGTTTTCATGTAACCTGGCACAATGGCAGAATGCTGCGCGATTCTGAAGACTATTTCATGGTGTGATTTTTATACCTCGGGTATTTCTTGCCTGGCTTCCTACAGTATATGTATATGTATATATTTGAGTGTGTACATATCTAGAACCCGAATCCTTGAACTGCAAGTTCACGTGGTGAACATGCTGTTTTGTCCCATTACTTGGTTCCCACCTAACCTAGAAAGAAAATTTCGACAGAAATCAAACTGGATTCACGTGAAAAACATCGCACGGTGCATGTTGCTGCATGAACCGACCGTACGATTAACATGAAGAAAGAAGAAAACCTGCTTTTACCACCTTTAGAGTTTTCATTCTTAAAATAAGAGAGGGCAAAAATATATGAATTAAAAGTATTTTAAACAGGACCGAGTGAAACTGACCCACAGTGATGTACCGATATTTACCGACGTATTTACAGGTACCAGTGAATTGTCATATTCTTTGGTACCAAGAAATTGATGAACAATAATTTGTTCAATACAGTGAGAATCCATCAGTACCAGCAACCGGAACGACGAGTTTTATAGCTGTCAAAACAACGTTCATCACATAAGTGAGGGTTGAAGGGCTCAGCCAAGCGGACAGACAATATGACCTATTGGGTCACAGCAGATCAATTCTGCATACATAGGGGAGGCTTTGGTTGATCTACTACAATGTCCCCGGCAAACCTGTGAACACTTTTACCTCGGTGGCGAAGAAAGAAATGCTGTGGCGTTCAGATATTTGTCTCTAGATAACTGTGGTGTCTTCCTGCCACAAGGTAGCCCGGTTTTTTAAACGTTATTTTCTGAGCCAGGTAAGTTCCTGCTGTAGTTTTAGACTCCTACGTGTTTTACCAATGTCACCCGTGCCGCAATGCCTTATGCAGTGGGATTCGCTGCTTAGAAAGAAGCAGCATATAGCTGTAGCTATCTAGTTTCAAAATGCTCAGTTGAATAAGCAATATGACTATGGACACAAAGACGACATATCAGCATTTTCACGAAAAATCAGTGACCGCCTCAAAGTATTGATATCAACCTGTAGGCCGGTGTACTTGTCAGATTTAAAATTGTCAGTCAGGCTTTTTACAGTGGAGAGCTGCACTCAGGCATTACAACCTGGTCTTTCACGAGTGTTCATCCTTAACACCCAATAAAATAATGGTATCTAACGAAATAAAAATAACCTGAAGGAAGTTTTGTTGTCCTGTTTTTATTCACCTCAATTATTAGGTTCACCCAGGTGTTCATTCTGACAAACATATGGCTAAGCGGATCGTTCAGGTTTTCATCTAATCCTCGCTGATGAAGTCTCGGTGCCATTTACATAGGCATGTTTTGAAGCATTTGCAGCAGCCCAAACTGAGATCTCTGTCAGCGGGCTAAGTGAACATAACGTCCACTCCATTCCCATTGCTTGGAATTCGGTGTGAATTTGATGCCTGTTTAAATTAACTCTCCAAGCTTACTAAAGTCTAATATACTGTATCGACTGTCCTAATACCCCTCTTTAAAGATTAGTGGCCTAAAATTCAGGCCCTGAAATCTTTTGCCCATTAGTACCAAGCAAATACAAGCAGAATTAGTTTCTAGACAACTACGGAATTTGCCTGATCAGACCCCCTCGATTTCCACGACAGAATGCAATAAGTAATTACTTCGTTTTGTCCTTCGGAGGGGTAGTTCACACAAAGTGCGCCGATATCAAGTGCTGGAAAACCATTTTAAAAATCTTCAGACTCAGTTGACAGCATGCACAATGACCGCATTTAAGCTGTAATCCACTGAGCATTTTAGTATTGAACGAAACACAACAAGCTAATTGAAATACGCCATGAAAAACTCCATTAAAGTTTGATGTTTTCTCTTCCGCTTTTCATGAGAATTAGGAAACCATTTATTTTATTCCCCTTCACAACTGTGCGATCTATTGTGGTAGTCATCGGTAGTACTCCTCTCGTGAACTTCTTGCAATCTCCCTCAGTGTGCATTTACACAGAGCACTGTGTTTACAAATTCTTTGACATCTGATACGTAATCATTTGCTGATTTTCTCATGTGACCTAGGGCAAGAAACGTTCTGCGATTATCACGGCTCTTCCACTCGAGACGTTGTCCACCAAGGAACTAATGTCCTTGCGACTAAGTGACAACTACGTGATGCTTCGCTGAAATTTGAGTACCACTGTGTCTTATTCAAGTGCAAACTAACTACACTGCTAATAATCCAATCGATGTGGCCTCCAACTAGTGGCCGGAATGTTGTTCGTCCGAATCATCCTAGAGATCCGTGAGATTCACACTTCTGAAGTTCTTCAAATTATACTAAACTGGTGTTCAGCGTTTCACAATACTGAGTGGCTTCACACTTGAGAAGGAATTCAGACTGCAGTTTCACAGCCTTCTCATTTTACAATCAGTTTTCATCATTGACAATATGGCTTTTTTATCAACAGTAGCTCACATGGTCAGTAAGAGATATCTCCTCATCAGAATCTTGTTCCAACTGAAGACTGTCATTCCGCCTCAAGTTATTAGTCTTTGTTAGATGAGTAGGACAGCGCTTCTTATTTGCACATAGAAAATCTTGGAATTTATCAGACTGCACTGGTAATCAATCACAAATATGCCGTCGTGCGTTTTCCGCTGATGTGATCGATCATTTGAGGGTTGTTGTTAACGAAAGGGCGTTGCGGCACCAAACGAACTTATTGAACCGCATATCGCTAGTGAAGTCCATAAACAAGCAGGTGATGTCCAAAATTATCCTGACGTTTCTTGGAGATGGAAGAATTTTCGGTGCACTGTCTGTTCACAGGTATTATCGGATATTTTGAGATGACGTGGAAATAAATGGTGAACAACGTAAATCTGTGGTGGGAATTAATATCCTCTCATCAGCCACCTCCCAAGGTGAAACTTAAATGGTGGAATATTTAGGAACTGGTCAGCGTATTTACCAGTTTAGCGGGTTGAATTTCGATGACGAATTGGTTTGGTGTGAGCAGTGTGGTAATGGAAGACTTGTGGACAACCGAACAACTTAAAGTAAACGGCAAATATATCTGTATAGCTGAACAGAAAACTAAAAAACGCAAGTGTTTTGTAGCAGGACTAAATCATCATTAGCATTACGATCACCGAAAATGCAACACAATTTGTCAATGACGGCTGGGGCGAGAAAAACCAGGGCTTCTGAAAAAAATTCAATATTTTTTGCTCCTTTTGGCTGAGCAACCGCCAGGGGTAACATCCAAAGAGAGACGAAAGTGAGAACAACCTACTGTACCTTTCCACCTTGGTGAACGGTGTTTGGATAATTCTGTTGTAAATTGGTTGAAATCTTTTATGACCTTTATACTCTTGGAGTTGCTCGAAATTTGCTGTGATTTATACCGTAACTACGGTAGGTTGTGAAAATGTTAATCAAAGCCACTGAATTTATCGAGTAATCAAGTTGGTTAATACATTCAGTGTGGGCATATGCTATCAACAAGTATCTTCCGAGTAGCGCCAGATAATCGCAAGGCATTCCAGTTTTGAGCGACTTTTTGGATTTCAAAGAAGGTTGCACTTAGACACAGTTGAATTTCAAGCCAAAAGCCAAAAAGAAATTGTTGCGCTCTCCATATTGAGATGTCCCTTAGTTGTTTATATGTCTCTGAACGGACACCACTTTTAGCATAAATTTTTCACCGAACTTTATCTCAAAGAATTCCTTTAGTTACGGTTTGCTTTATTATGCTTGGTCTTAGAGATGCTTTTACTCACAAAATGAATGAAAATGGGATTACTGTACATATCGAATTAATGATTTGGAGAAGCGGAAACTCCTTTTTACTACAATGAGTCCCACGGGCCAATTCTTTGCGGGGAGGTTTATGTCAATAACTGAAATGTACATGTGCTGATACACTGAAGGCGTCTGTTTGGCCCCCATCCCTAACTAGATCATCTCTACCTTCGATTCATTCCATCCAGGTAGTAATGGATATTCGGTATCGCGCAGGACTCAAGAGGACCAAACGTGCAGCAGGAGGGAGCGAAGAAGGTTTGAGTAATATGTGCCAGGATGTTGGACACCAGTTCACATGCTGCACGCAGCCTTTGTCAATCAAATTTTCCGAAATTGGATGGAACAAATGGATCGTTTTTCCGAAACAGGTCGAACCAAACTATTGCCGTGGCTCTTGCCAAGGTAAGTCAGATGTGCAACAGGGCACACTAGGTATATTGCCAATTACTCATTTTACCGATCAACATATATAAGACCTCGTGCGACATGGAATGACTTACCAAAGAAACCCTAATATCTGATACTTTATTTCCGGTAAAAATCCGAACGATATGTTGTGAACTGCAAAACATTCCACAAAAATATAAGGTACCCAGGATATCACTCGTTAATAAATACGTCATTTCTCAATCGCTAGAGATGGGGACTTTAGCATCGGACCGTTTGGCTGGCCAAAACAAGTGTTCCCGGGTAACCAGGGATGTCCGTGCTAACTTTCGAATCGAGATAAGCATCTAAAGGGACTCCAAATGACCTGCATTATCATGATTAGCCGTAATCGGTACAGCTGGATCATCTAGTTACCTGTTCGGCCGGCAGTATCATAAGAGAATACCACAGTACAGATGATTTCAACCGAGCCCAGCGCAAAGGCATCCTAGGCTTTAATAGGAATGAGTGGTGACACTGGCTGTTCAATAGCCTGTAACAGTGCAGCAGATTAAGTTTTGACTGTCAGCCAACAAGAAGCGTCAGCTTCAAACATTTACGTATGGCTTAGTCCATGGTACTGTCGTCTAGGAAATGTGTGTTCACGACTACCGTGAAAACGGAATCATTGTGTGATATGGCTCAAAAGATTCTGCAGGTCCTGACATAAATTTGAAAGTCTTATTCGAGTTTTTCTCATGCCGATTGGTCCATCATTAGCTTACAGCCAAACCGGAAACATCCTAACTGCCGTATGGAAGTAGCGTCTGTGGGTTGAACTTAGAATTTACCTCAGGCTAGTCAGCGAAAACCAGGCAGTTAGGCAATATCGATGACCATAACAATCGTGTAATCTCCATCCTAGAGTGCCATCGAGCATTTAGGTTCATTTTGACCGGACAAAAGAAGAAATCCGAATACAATGGCACAATGGTGTACCCCTATTCCATCAGGAACTGTAATGCATCTCGCGAAACTGGAATAACAACACGAAAATTTCCCGCGTGATTACTTCTGTTCGTTGAAAAACATAAACTTGCTGTCTCTGTTTTCACTTGGCTTTCGTAAATAACTAAGTACATAAACCTAGGTCTTTGCTTGGAACGTCTCATTTGTCAGTCAAGTTCATTCCCAGTAAAACCAATGGAACTTCTGGGTGCCATTTTGAGTCTAGTTATGAACCACCCAGGCTTGAACATACTCGCCAACTGCATCCAGCAATGAGACAGCACACATCATTAAAGTGGTTTATCAACGAATTTTACTGCTTCAGATGAGCCAGGTCAGAGAATCGGTAACTATTTTCTGGAATATAACCCGCAGAGCTATCCCACGTTCAATGCTGTTCCCGTCACAGAGGAAAAAATAAATTTGAAGTAAATTAATTCCACCATCCGTTCCGTTTCACTATACGTTTCGATGCATGATGAATACGCGTTTCAGGTACTAATAAAATGATGGGTTTGGAGATTGCTTGTTTGGATAATAGTTCCAGAACACACCCTCGTGAACACACATGAGAGAAAAAGCTTCATAATCAATTTTCTGGCACCACTTAACTGAACAGCGACGTCGGGTTCAGTGGCTCTGACAGGTATACCACCGACTCATATACCATCATATTCAGGGCCGCCCGTGCTCCGAAATTATTCAGACAACAACTTGAGTCGACGGAGATAGGTCTGCAGACAGCACATGGCCTAAGCAAATAGGGACAGAAAAGTCTATGAGAGCCCCACAGCAAAATGATACTCCTTGGAGGCTCTGCTTCGAAACATTGAATAACGCTGTATATATCTGAATAGGTCACAGCCAAATACATTGCACTATTGACGATGCTTACCTGTTTAGTCGTGATAACCCAGCTAAAAGTAAAACACTCTCCACACATTTCAGATGACCAAATCTTGAATCCTTGCCCATATGATAATATTCCGAGAGATGATCGTCTCCATTAAGGACATATGGTTCGTTATTTATCACCTGGTAGCAAGAAAAGGTGCACAACCGTCACCAGAATTGTTACGTATGTCTAATGGTCAGGTACACTCTAGAATACCGTAGAAAAATGCAACTTGCTTCCGCTTGCATCCCAATTTTTTTCCTTCGGTGAATGGTGTCGTCTGAAACAAACCGGGTCTCCCAAATTCTACTTACGTTAACAAAATTTCGCAGGTCTAGAGGCCTTGATCTGATAACTCTTTGGTATCTGTTTGGATAACCGTCGTCTAGCTTCCTTGGTAGGTTAAAAGTGAGGTAAACGAAGTATCGTTTCATATGACAATATTTCCGTTTTTCCGTGCGTTTTATTCAACCACCCATGTCCATCTGCTTCGATTTCAGCTACAGGATCTCGCAGCTCTCATTATGATATACTCAACCTGCTGCATCAGAAAAATTCCACCAGATTTCCGGGAGTGAGACGCGATGAACTACAATCTTGTTGTTATCCCACGAGGAGAAACAGCTTTTCAATTTTATACATGGCAGGCGAGAATGATATTCGAATGCATGTGCTACATAACCTAATAGTGCTGGGATGTGGATGTAGCTGAAAAGTGGTCATTCCGGTGATAGCTGCACTGGCATTCTTGTACTATTCCAATTTCCTCATAAAAATGTCATTTTGGTGGCGCGAAAACACAGTGGTTATCATACAGATTCAGGATTTTCCAGTATCACTCATTTCATATTGTCTGAAAAACCATAAAGGACATAAAGTTCAACTTTGTCATCTTCAACATCAAAATTGCCCCTACCCAATCTGTTGACCATGTTTTCATTGCGTTCGTGATAATTTTCGGTGCCGTTTGCACTTCGAAAACATTCCTTTCACGTACCAGTAGGTAAATAGCCCAAGTCCATGTCTCCGGTGTTCTTGCTAAATGTTCATCAATTGTGGAACGGAAACTCATCTAGTTTCGTGTGGACATCGTTCATGATGGTTATACCTACATCATTCAACGAGTGGTGATTTAAGCCGTTGTTCGAGTGGCGAAAATGCTATAAGTTATTTCATCACCAAGTGACTGTGTTTATTTTTTCACTTTCGACGTTGTAATTGGACTTGTGAAAAGTTCGGATTATAAATGTTCATATTTGAATCACATTTGCTTGTTTTCCGTGGTAAATTGTGCGTCAAAGGCTTGAGAAAACTGTGTTTCGGGGCTGTTTAGCCAGTCCAGAACAGCCAAATCGAATGAGTGGGATTACATTAACCGGATGTCACACCGGTCCGACTCCGAAGTTCGGATATCACCGAAAGGTTGACCATTCTGCTCTATCTCAACTACTACATTTTTTTCAGTAGCGTAAAATAACAGCTAACCGCGCCCAGCATGGGAGACGTGGTTTCGGTTGATTTTTGTTTCTGGGCCTCTGTGCTGCGGTGCTGTGTAGTGGTGACCCAAGAGTGCCCAAGGAAAACAATTACTCCAATAGTAAATGGGATTCTCAGGTTCCATTTTTACCTTAATAGGGTGTGAAAGCACTTTCAGTCATCGAATGATCTTTCTTAAGACGAAAAACTAAACGTAGTCTAAACTACAAGCTACAAGCCTCTAAAAGCTTATTAGTCAAAAAATAATCGCTCCGCTTTGTAGGAAATTTCTGCTATGGAGTTTTAACACTGTGAGATCTGTCTCCCCACCTCCCTTAAAGTGACCTTTGGTATATGCTGAGATAAATATATTCATAAGACAGAAAAATTGTGGAATTTGGTTAGGATTTGTCCAGCAATTTTAACAGTGATCCAACTTGAATGTCCTTGCCTTTCAAGCCAGTCAATAAGCCTAATTTTCAAAATCATTTTTGCCTGGGTGGAAAAATTCGGAAATGCTTATTTCGATCATATTATTCATCCAGGTCAGGTGGCTGTCACAAAAAATGTCCTTGTCATACAGTAGCTTATTCAAATTTATAAACCCAAGTACCATATGTAGACATCTGTACAAGTTCCACCCGGTTCTGTCGCCACAACTTCTGATGGATTGGTTCAGACTGCTAAATGATAGAAAAAAATTCCACTTTCTCACATTACTGGTCACTCATTTGGTAAGCGTAGCTTTCATTACCCATTCGAACTTCCCCCATGTAATGTATCTGGACACTCAGTCGCCTCTTCAGGTTCTGTCAACTTGGAACACTAATGAATCCTTTGTGGTACCTCCGATGCATATCCTGCGCCTTTAACGCAGGATCTGCGCAGTTGGGTAGGCACTGCGCACTGATGATGCCTCCTCGTATGGGGACGAAATGTTTGCAAGTCAATTCCCGAGTTCGGTGAACCGATCAACAAGCACCTGATCAGCAACCAATGAACTCACCCGAGCTACTAATATCTCGACACATTACAGACAGCTGAGTGGCTAGTAAACAATCAAAAACTGGCAACCAGGCGGTGACATGCCATTCTGTCGTTACACTCAAATGTCCATTTTTGTACGGACCATCCCAGATAATCTCGGGACTGAATGCATAGTAATATTTTTACATGACCTTGGAACTATTTCCTCGAAATGTCGACTGACTTCCACAGGACTTGTTAAGATCGGCGTTAGAAACGTAAACAGACGTTTAAAGGAATGTCTAAAGCATCAATAGAACTTTAACTAAACGACCTTTAAGGACACATTACTCTAATATGTGCGTCCAATTAGTACAGAACATGCAGGACTTATGTGAGGACAGCACATAGCAAAACTGGTGCAGGTCACGAGAGAAAATGTTGTAATACTCATGAGTCCGGCACAGCACTCTTGCGATACATGGTTTGTTTTGAAGCTGTAATACCTGCTGCAAATTGGCACGATACTACCTACAAGCCGGGCATAAAGGCATTATCAGCGAGAGATTTGACCATCTATCAGAACACTGAAGTACTTACAGCTTTCAACTATGTCACGGTTGTTATGTTGTTGAAATCTCGTCCTCCTGCCAGTTGATCAAGTAATAAGGCTAAGTAGAATTCGAGAATAATGCCTACCGGACTAATTCTAAACGAGAAAAAACTGGGATCGGGCTACTGTTTTTCGGAAATTCAGATTTATTTCAGAAGAGCCACAACTTCCATCTTTCTCAGCGCCCGTTGTCCAGTGAGCATACTAGGAAGAAATCAAATATCAGCACGTATCAACAAAACTTCTAGTAACTTTTCGTTCAATCAATCCGCCCTACTTTGGTATCGTGAAATACAGATTCTGGCGCGCAACTGGAGTTACCAGGATACTTTTCTGATCTCACATGAACATAAGAACTAGCAGTGCTGAAAGCCCACGTAAGCAAAAGTTTATTTCCCACTAAGTCAACAATATTTAGAGCTTCTGATACTTTGGAATGTTCAGTAAAAGCACAAAGATCAGGGTTAGTGTTTAAATAATGGATTCAAATTTTACACGTATTCAGAAAAGCTTGGGAAGTTATCCGAGGAGACCTGTCATTTCTAAACTTGTTCCAAAAACGATATTAGAGATAACACCCCTGTGAAAGTTACACTAGAAAATTTAGCTTCCAAGGTTCATTTTTTATAATCCAAATAAGTCTGACGGTTGCAATAGACCTTCCAATTCGCCAGTCTAAACCCAATCAATTCACCAAACAGTATAAAGGCAGGCAAGATGATGACATGAGCTCTAGAAAGTTCAATCCCTTATTTTCATCCTAAATTCACGGATAGAAACGGTGATTGGTCCCAAGTTTTTGCCTTTGATCAGTACTACAAACAAATAAATAATGGACAATACAGGAGAAAGCAGCAAATCGCATCTTGGTTCAGTCAGTTCCGGTTCTTAATCGCAAGACAAGTTAACATCCTGCGTCAAGGATCTTGTCCAAACAACTCAGTCGGTATTGCTCGATCATCTTGGACCCAGTACAGCAGGATCTTAAACAGATCACTATTCGTGATTTTTGAAATATTTACGCACTCGTATTCTGGCTCACTGGCGATCGCGAATTTACAGCCTGATTATTTACCGGGACACAACCAGAGTTCTTATCCAAAGTGTTGAACTTGGTCATGACCGCAAATTCCAATGGCAAAGTCCACACGGGAGCTTAGAAGTACTCCGTATTTAGTCACACATTCATATCGCATCACACGCTAATGCTGTAATCAAGGAAAAGAAAGTACGTGGCCACAACCAAGACAATACCGTCTGGTGAGAAAAAATTCCAAAACATTCTGGACCACCTAACAAAAAAGTAGACGGGGTAGAAACCCAAGACCAAACTGTTACTCAGTTCTATTTCCATCGTCCTATGAAATTAACGACAACCATCAGAACCAAAACACAACCCTCACGAGAAGCACCTAAAACACACAAAGAAAAGGTTCCTATGAGATCGATCCTGGCTACCTGTGGATCCATCCACAAATATTTATGCAGGTGGTCCGTCAAAAATTTAACTTCAGTACAGTTGACATTGAGCTCATCAGACACCATTTCACACCACACTGTAGATCATTCTGTCAGTCCATAATTTAAAGGGCCCAACTAATCACAAACTTACATTAAAAAACCACTTCGTGTAATCGATTGTACGTCACAGCCGCTCAGCTCCTCCTGCTCTAAGCAACGATAAAGATTAAACTGCGACGCAGCGCGCCTCATTCACATGTATACCAATTCAGGTGTAAGCGGGGTGAAATCTGCATATAGAAACTAGAGCGAACATGTCTTCATCTATCTTTGTCGCTGTTTGTCAGGTGATACATTGATCGACCGGTAAATTGCAACCTGAAACCAGAGAATCTGCCCCGAAATATTCTAACAGCTAGTCCCAATGTCGACCAAAAAAACCTTTCGGGATTTTACTCCGTAATGTCAACCCGAAATGGTTGACTTTCAAGACTTGGTTGAACGAAATTCCTTGACACAAGCTACCGAATTGCCTTGTGAGTAAGAAACGGGTCACGATGTAGCTGGCTCAGTTTAGTGTCTTATTCATTTTACTTCGTATGCGCTGTTAGTTTCTGCTTTTGAAACAGGAAGAATAAGGACAAACAGTTTAATTCCTGCAGTCTATTTCACACAACTAAATTGTTCAACCAGAAGTATCGGCGAAATATACCACGTTTAACCCCTTTGACCTTCACATTAAAACGCTGGGTAAAGTGACCATAAGGGTGTCCCTCAACTCCTTTTGATACTAAAAGATAGGCTTTGTGTTTCACGATTTTTTTAATCTCTTCAACTAAGCGGATTTCTACTATGGTTTGCCGAACCCATTTTTCACAAATATTGAAGTTCGACTATGGGTTTTTTGACAGTGTGCTCACACTATGAATGGAAGTTGGAGTCTCAGTGCTTCTTAATTCAATTTTCTAGTAACGTGACGAGTCCTGAACCACAGAGTAACGTGGTTAGTGCTAAAGCGGCACACACAGTCATGTCCAGATTGAGGTATGTTTCTGAAGAATCGCTCAGTTATTAATTACTAATAGGCGTGATTTCAAGTGGATTTCAGTAACCACTAAGTAACTTTGGCAATTTCCAGCGTCTGTTTACACAGTGTACCGAACGATAACGAAGCGATGACAACATTTTGAGTCCCAATGTTTACTGGGTTAAGCACACTGTTTGGGAATATCTGCTATTGAGTCTTTACCTAAAATTCGATAGCGAAAAACAGCTTGTAATCAAAGTGCTTACTAGAGCTTTTCAGCTTCGTTGCCAAATCTAATGTTTCTGAGGCTTTCGGAGGTACCTTGACGGAGCTACTTTGTGCACCACAAGTCAATGTGATAACGGTTTCACAGTTTGCCAAATGACAGACAGACGCGAAGCTTTGTCATGAGTCATCCAGCCATCCTTCGTTGATCTGTGCGCATCATATCAGTCCAAAAGAAAGGAAGGTAATTTACTGGGTGCCTCTTTCTCTACCTGACGTAGGCTGTACTAGTTACATGCAAGACCATTTTGAATGAAACAAGGTGGTTTTCTTATCCAACCGTCGCCCCGACTACCGTGCATTCTCTTTTCCCCTTCCACTACAGACAGCTGAGAAGCGCGTTTTTTTTAAACTAGTGTCCTCCAAAGTACCCGCTTACCATTTCATTTCAGCCAGCGTGTCGATGATGTCTAAGATAACAGACTATTGAATTTCGATCATGCCATTAGCTGCATACTCCGCCTCTACTGGAGAAGCTCAGCTACGGGCCGCTGGCTGGATACGACCCATGACGGTTTCATCTGACCTGCCGCCTCTTCTTCATAATCACAGATTTCGTACTCAAAGTAGATATATAGGGAGAGAAGTCATAATTGGTCAATGCTTTGTTGTACACATCACATTATTGTTTCGTGAACTTAATGCGGTTTGCCTTAGTTTTACTGCTAGTGTGATCAGCTAACTACGCTCTACACAACTATCTGATATATTCATCTCACACGACACTGGCATCCAGACGAGTAGTCACGTGTGACTAACAAGGTCATGACAATATGATTGAGTCAGTTTTCCCATTCCGTGCTTTTCATTTGTCCAGTGCAACTTCATACACATTACAACACACATTAGGCCACATAAATTGACTGCCAATCGGCCAGTGGACAAGCAGGCCGACCCACGGTACGGAGGGCCGTCTTGTTTATTCGTGAATGTGTGTACGTTAGGTAGCCTTGGTCGCAAGTCGCCGTATTTAAATGTTTTAACAAGCATCACATTGCCCACATTTGGACAAACAGACCTTCGTTTAGAGAAAACCAGTTTTCATCATAATATCAGTGTTTTAACAAACAAAATTTAGAGATTACGGCGATGTGACCGTGGCTCAAGCATTATGCTGATACTCGAAGATGATTCCAGTGATGTATCGAGTACTTCAGAGTTTCTCGTATTCATCCTGCAGTCGATTCGGTATACCGTGTAGCGGATTACCAAGCAACCCATCATGAAAACAAACGGTGTTCTCAACGAAAGTGCATTAAATCTTATTAGACTGTAAGCCTAGTTGGAAGTACCCTTATTATGTGGGAGGTATAACAAAAGTCTCACCCGATATTAGAGGGAGTCTAGTAAGACAAATAGAATGTCATTTGGAAACCACTGGCCCTCTCCGTGTTAGTGCGCTGTACCAGCATTCTATATAAACAGTACTACATCAAACCTTACGATCCATATTTTTCCGGACTAAACTGCATCTGATCCATTTCAACATCATCTTAAGCCCTTTCTGAATAAATCAGTTCCGGTGCCTGCTGTAAAGTATCTCACACTCAAATTCAGAAGTCCAGATGAATCTACGAACTCGTTGTTGAAATTGGCTTGTTTCCCACGGAAAACGCCAAATCCCATTCATGTTGATATACGCAATACTATGTTAACAATTTGTCCATGTGATAACACCTGTTGAAATCGGTCAGTTGAAATTGTAGCTCGTGATAATAAGAAGTCTGCGGTAACCTCTCTGAATAGATGGATGTATATTTTTTCACAGAACTAGCGCTCAGGTTGCAGGGATAATTTTTCATACGTGCACAAAAAGTACAAAGAACAGCAGGCTGTCTCAAAATACTTTCGAGTAGTTTTCAGGGACCTCTTGCTTGACCACAGATCTAGAACAGAGAGGTGATTTCTGCATGTTTCATTTGATTGAATGTGAGAAGAGCTGGCAATGTTCATTTGCTATTTTGCCCTGTAGGTAAAGCACTGTACACATGTCTCATCTTTGTTGAGACTGATCAGAAGTGAGCATCTTACGAAACTCAAGGGCGTTTTGAACCCACGAACGCCCGCCTTGTAGTTGTAAAGTCTTGCGACCACAACTGGTTGAAAAATAGTTTGATTAAGTCACACTTAGTATGTAGCGGCATTCAGCCTTTATTCGCGAAAAATGTCTCACATTTTTGTGTATTGACTGGCTTCTTGAGTGACTGGTGATTTCCAGTGAAGATGGAACAGCTGTACGGTATTTCTCGGCTTTTCAGCACAGATTGACCACGCTTACAGAACGAAATCTTAACGGAAAATTCTGCTTACGACAGGAGAGCTGCGTTCAGAACTGGCCACTCTGTTGAATAAGGTTTTTTAAAGACGAAATCGGTGGATTGTCCTAACCTGATCACGTAAGTGGCACAGTGCTTAAAAACATAGCACGGACGTACCAAGCTACTCATAAGGTTGCCGTAAATACGAATCGGAAAAAAATCGCGAAATACGCTCAATTGTATACTAAGCTGGCTTTAACAGCAGGCCAAACTGAATCCGTCTGGATACGCGCATTGGTGAGGACGAAGTTGACGAGTATGCTACCATTCGATAGGTCTATAGAAGCGCTTCGGTCACCTGAGATTCACAGCACATCAAACTTAGATGTCAAATTCAGCGAGGTGCCTTCAAATTGCCCACTGTAATTCTGGGCAAGGACACTGACTGCAAGACAGAGGTAACCCTGTCGAGAGCGGACTTGTCCGCTGGACCGGTATAGTATAGCCAGAAGTAGGCGTTCATTCCCGACACAGAGATTCATATGGCGGTCTTAGACAATAAACTGACCGATAGCTGTAGAGAGCACATATCGTTATCCTTCAACTTCCCTCGCCCGTAAAACTACTGATATTCCAGTAGCTAGCAGTTGATGTCCAAAATGCATCAAAGCTGTACTGGTTTTATATAGGCGCAATTCTTCAGGAAACTCGAAGGAATCGATATTTGGTAAAGATTCGAGAATTCCTCATCTTTCACCAAGATACCTGCCTGTGATTTTGTTGGAAAAACCAAACTGGATATATTTTTTGCTTTATCGGATGCCTTTAAGCCGGTATTAGTTAGGTCGTTTATTTCTCCACTGTTTGACAAATACAGTATTGTCTTTATCCATCTGTCCAATCATGTTGCTGTCCGTTCCAATGAGCGCACGGAATTCTGCTTCAGGGCTTCTTCGTATGATACTGTGCAACAAATCCCCGACCGAGTCCCAATCAGTGAAGACGAATATCCAAAACCCAGTCAAATAAGGAGCGACTAACTGAGGGAATACAGCAAATTCTACCCATCAAAACCTCGATAAAGCCAAACAATTCCAGTTGCGTTGAATGGGTAATTATAGAAAGGAATAGTCACGTACATGCATTTGAAGGAAACGCAAAACAGAGGGTATTGGCGATTCCCTTGATTATGTTATGGTTCCAGTTAGTTATGATGAAGTCATTAATGGAGCTTAACTCTTGCGTTTTCCTGACTCTTGTTCCTAACCGGGCCACCTTTTACCATTGGCCCAACACTATCTCCTTGAAATTGCCATCCGCAAGTACTGTACCACAAAGTAGCCATGTGCATAGGCCTGGATGGATAACACAACAATCAGGTAACATCCGTGGGGAAGGTCAAACAGACGTCTACCGCAAAGTTAGGTAGCCTCCATCACTGAAAAGACAGTCTTCAAGAGATTTTAATAAAGTGAGTTTCATTGGGAGATGTCTGTCAACTGGACGTTCTGACGTCCCTTCAAACATGTCAAAATTCTAAACCACCGATAATTCACGTCCTTCCATTAGATGAAAAAACTTCCGAAATATGATTTTCAGATTGTATTTATTAAATGTCAGTTTGGTTGTGGGCTACCAGGGCCTTGATAAGCTAGAATCCCTAGTCTTCCTAACTAAGGATCAGTTTCGAGAGCCGGGTATGATCCCAGCTTATATTAGGCTATATAGACCTGAGAATCTGTTCAACAACACTTACACACAGCTATTGCATGCTTTTTATACAGCACTGCACTGCAAGAACGCATGGCGCTGTCTGTTCACCGGTCAGGCTATTGTTCTCGGAATAACATAAACCAGTGGCTCAGAAATGACTTTCTGGTGAAGACAGAACACAAGTGTATATGAGCAAAACAAATTAAGCCATCACAAGTGAGCCCAGAGGTGGACAGAGTGAGAAGCAAGTTTTCCGTCAAGAAGAAAATAAACGGCGAAAATGTAACCTAAGTTAGTTAAATTCTTTTGATATAAAGAAAATCATGAAGTGAGAATCACACTGCTTGACCGTCCTCGAGTGTAAGATAGTCCAACAAATGCGTAACAATTAAATAATCGATGCTTGTCGACTCGACGTTCACAACACCATTGCTGCCGTTCGATGAAGACACAGGAACAGATTTTCCAGGCCTCGTCCCTAACTTCGCGGTTTCCGGATTTGTCGCTTCGTTCATCACAACGGTTAAGCAGCCACAAAGATCGTAAGTACGTGCAAGGTCAGCGAGAATCGGAAAGCGAACCACAAGGAAGTATATAGAGCGCAGAAGGTAGGTCGCTACGGAAGGTGGGAGGGGAAGGCAGATTGGGAAAAACAAAAAAGTAGTGATCATGCGACAAGCAACAAGAATAATGGATAACTAGGAGGGCGAAACCGCATTGCGGCTGGTACACTTAAATAACAGAAGGGGTCGGGTAATGTGATGATGAAGAAAGTCGCTAAGTTCGAATCAGCAAAGGAAGCAAATGAATGTGCTGTGTTCCTACACCTTCCTTTACTGATAATGCATAAGAAAAGGAATTTATCCACTGGTACCAACTGAGCGCACACACACCGGGGCAACAAACGCCATTGCTCAAACCCACACATACAACCTTGAGGAATTTACTTTTGAATTGAATCAAACAGTGGGTAAACATAACGCCCATGCCTTCATGAGAACAGTGGTTTTTCTGGGCACCAAGACTATATACTGAAAACGTGTGGTAAGGGTTTACATAAAAGTCAACCAGTCAGAGTCGCTTTTTTGGTACATCTAAAACCCCGGGCATGTTGGCAGATATGTTGGCCTACTATGTGTTGTGAACCAACCAACCTTTAAAACTAAGTCGATCTTATAGAAGGATAACGGTCAAACAAAGTCAGGTTGCTACGTATCACCACTGGCAACATCCATGTTCAAAACTGATGCATCGCAGCCGTACAAGTTTACTTGAAAGCCACCGTGTGTAGAAAAGAATAAGAGTGGACAGGGAACCGAACTAGTTTTAGCCTATCACGAGGCGCCTACACCTCCGAACTCTCATTCGGTTAATCTGAGTAAAATGACTACAAGGACACCTTTGATGTCGAGTAGTGGTTATAACTTGCGGCGTCTGCAAACATACACAGGGGATCAACCGTACTCCATCCTGGAAGGCCACTCGCACCGACATTACGCAGACTTTTGACAATCGATTTCATTTCCCTCTGCGAAGCCAAATGGATCATCGCTCGCGCCATTGGGTTTCTCCATGAACCATTGGCCCGTACGGCTCGCGCGAATACTCGCGGAGTCTATCACACCTTGTTAGTCACTGGTTAGAGAACCTGCCAACACAGTATCCTGGTCCACCAGGTACGGGTTCGAAGATGGGTGGCAACCTGTTCTTTGAAAAATCTAATGCGTTCACATTTCACAACAAACACCGTTGGTTTGATATCAGGGGACCCTAATCGCCCTCTTGTTCAGTTTTGGGCGTCATGGCAGTATCCTTGCCGGTAGGCAACCATGCTTCTTACAACTAAGAATCCTGATAAGCCATATCGGTCGACGCATGGTGTCACAAAACGGGTGGCTTTAGTTGCCGTATACAACTGGACGGGTAAGTGAAAACAAGGTTGGGTTACTTTTTTCGGAAAACGACATTTCGGTGCGCGCAGTACGTGACCAGACCACCACAGCGTTTTGTGATGGACATATTCTCCGGCATAGCCGAACACCAACTATCTAGTTTACTCGTTTCGGATTCACCGACACCAGCCTACACCAGCCGTCATATTAAAATCAGAACTGATTCAACTTCCAAGATACGTAAAACACGCCACTACTACCTTTCCCTGGATTGTAGGCAGTATGTGCAGGAGCAGAAGCTCACACTATTTGGGCGCAAGGTTTATGCCATAGGACGAGATGACTTTAGTTAGTTAATCCGAAAGCAGATACAAATTTTACTCATCTTCGAACAGAACAACAGTGCCGTCTGTAGAAGTCAGGTCAAGGTTTTCCTAAGCAACCATTTGAATAGCAAGGTTTTGAAGAGCTCCCAGCGCAGGTCGCTTTATCGCATCAATCACAAACTTAAATAGGACTGAAGATAGCGGGTATTCCGGTCGACGTCACTTTGTGTATGGGAGCTTTTTGAAGTCTCCCCGTATACTCTCACGCACTCGGAAATCAGAATATAAATAACATATTATGGTGACACATGTCTAGGACAATCTTTGGTTGTTAGGCAGGACGGACCAGTCAGCCTAGCCAATTACACCTTGGAAACCGAGCATTGCTTAGAGTGTGGGTCGCTTATACATATGGCGTTTTGACGGAACGCGAAGACTTTTCCAACACAGCCCCCATGAAGACGGAATTCTGCTTGATGCTGCCGAATTAAAGCTTGACGAGACTCCATAAGGGGAAAGGAGAACTGACGCTAAGAGTGTCGTTATGACTAGTCAGGCTAAACCCTCTTACAGTACCAACTACGTGCCGCCTTTTTGAAAATGGGATCTTCCCCAGTTGCCTGGGACAGTTCCTGCACCAGATGGAGGTTATCAGATCAGAGACGCGCTGACTGTGAATTTCACCTCCATCGTTGAATAATGCGAGTTGGAAGTCATCTCGAACGGCGGCTCAGTGGCACTTGACGGAACCCATGCATTCATAGACCTCCGAGCCCATAAGGTGTTCTAGGTTTCCAGAGTTTAGAACTGCGATGGAGCGGCAGCAGACGGTTACGAGAAATGTTTAAATTGCTCAACTTATGAAGGACGAATGGACTCGTTAGACCTAACGGATGAACCCACAAGGAGAGTTAAATTAAGAGGGTGGGGGAGGAAGGAAAAGTATGTATGCGGCAAGTAAGGTCACTCGTTTCATGACACTAAGCGACGCCTAATTGTAGGAATCATGGTTGTACGTGGGCAGGGATAGTGCTATGGCGCCTAAACCTAGATAAGAGGACAATTAGAATCCTCTGATTAAAAAGCCTGACCTCAAGGTAACGGTGTTCGGTGGGAAATGTGAATAAAAAGATTATGTAAACGCACTAGATTTTTCAAAGAATAGGTTTCTACACATGTTCCAACCCCTAAGCTGGAGGGTCAGGGCCCTGTGATCAACAGGGTGTGATAGACTCTGCGAGTATTCGCACGAGCAGTGTAGCTCAGTAGTTCATGGAAGCACCCAAACCCCCACACTACAGTACGGTCGGCTCTTTGTGACGGGTGCTACAGACAGAGTGTTGGCAACAAAACATCAAGAACACACTCAGTTGCTTCCATGATGTAATAATGGTTGGCACAATGACGAAAAGATATCAGACAAGCTGGTGACTACTGAGTGTCTTAAGAGTAAGAATAAAAGACTAATCCCCCTTATAGGATCAGTGCAGAAATAAGATGGCTAAACAGGTCCGAAAGAGTGCCCTTTTTTACCTTCGACAGGCTGCTTGTAGGACTTGTCCTGAACAACAGCCAGATGAATAAGATAGGTCCCGAGTTCCAAGGCCTCTTCGTCTGACAGCTACAAAAGAACAAGAATCGAACAAAAAGGGGATAACTAGGTCTCCAGAGGGAAACACTGGATGAAATACACCGAAGAGATGACTGCGATCAATGTACGGAACATTGGTTGGTAAACTACAATAAGACAGTGCTATGACTCCAAATGTTGTAACGTAACACTAATCCAAACCTGCACGGATTCTGTAAGGTCACGTTAATCAATAAGTATGGACCGGACGTACACAGAAGTGCTTTGGAAAGGCGACTCGCTTTCGTTGACGCCGACTGATCTCTGTTTCTATCGATGTCTGCGAAATAAATCATCCTTAATAATGCGGATGACGAGATCAATCTGTCTAGTCCTTATGCTCAGGAAGTGGGCTAACGAGATGCAGTATTCAACTCAAATCATTCAGGCACAAACCGTGCAGCGCCTAGCTGTCGCAGTTTTTATGTTAGTCGACGTTAGAGGAGTTTTAAGGGTAGAGTTGCACAATAAAGACTAGAGTTTGCGTCGTATTCATGTGAATCGTGCTTGTGATAGGACGGCAGCTGGATAACGAAGACTTCTAAATGTAATCAGAATGTGCTTGGAGACAGCCATGTGTTGAAAGTGAAGTCACCAGAAATGATAAAATGAGATGCGCTAATTGCCTACCGAGCTTGGCAACTGGAATGCTCACGTCTTACTGACAACGGAGGTTGGTCTCAATATGTTGTTGATTTTAGTGCTTTTTTCGATAACGGATCTACTAAGAGTTGTAATCGGGGATGACGCAGCCTAGTAAGTGAGTCCGTCAACGGATGTTTACTCCACTGTTAGATGATCGCCGTAATAGAGTAACTGGTCCATGTTATAACGAGAAAATGCTTAAGGAACAGTCACAACAGTGAACAGATAGAATAGTGAAATTGGCTAAAAGGTACATAATTTGAGTCGTTCACGGTAGAGAGGTCAACCGAAAACCCTAGAGGCTGACGACAACTCACGCCAATAAGAAAATCGTTCAGCTGTAATAACTAACTGCCTAACTGCCATGCCACAGGGATGCACGAGGCTGGAGTGCTTGCCATGTTGCCCAAGCCTAGACAGGGGAAGTCGAGAGGCAGATGTCGGGTTGGAACCACGTATCTTCCGGTCAGTAAATTCACGTCCTAAACAGAAGCAACTCGCCTTACGCCAGTAAGATGATCACACCAAGCTACCACTATTCCCTGAACGAATACGTAAACCATAACCGTCGGTGTAATCACGATGTCACCGTGAATAGTGACAGAACTCTTGGAATCCATTTGCTGAGCTTGGTAGTGCCATCTAAGAACCTCTGATCGGGCGGCAGGCGGTTCCGAAGTGACTGATTGGGGACTTAGTGTTTGTTTGCCAGATCATCGTAGGACTGTCCAGAGAGCATTTCCACGCAACATACGGCTGAAACAAAAGCGAAATACAGATAAAACTGTCGTACGTTGTGCGAAGAATGTGGTCCAGCCAGTGACACGTATACAGCGTGATCACCTAGTCTATCATACGTGAGGTTTACCGTAAACGACCCAACCTACGCTAATGGTTTTTACCAGACCCAGGGCAACTCATTCTAGGCATCGACGGCCAAACGATCCGTAGTGGATGGGTTTCTGCTACATTCAACTGGTTTCGGTAGGCTGCAGTACTACCTGAAACGAACGTTAGGGATTGTTACCTGTGAAATTCAAAGTCAAAAAGCTTTCGTGGTGTCTATCTCATCTGCTCCAGTGAGGATACACCATAAAACACGTTTAAGTATGCGTAGTTTCAACTGAAACTTATTCCGATTGATAAAAAACACCGAATTTGGTAGGTCCGCCTAGGTGCATCGAAAATATCTTCAGAAACAACCACAAAACACGACAAAGCAACCACCTCTTTTCGCGTTTATCGTATAAGTTTACATTCAGGTAAGGAAAAGAGTCAGCGATATTGAACCTTATAGCAACCACGCGTTTCGACAAAGAGTGATACTGTATTGAAGACCTTACAGTGGATCTCTATCGTATCGGTGTCTTGTGGTCATCAGGATATCTCCGTGATAACCCGTGCATCCGAATAAGCCACTGAGTAGGCCTTTATAACCTTCACCTGGAGTGATCTCGGCAACTCACCTGAATATTCAGCGCCAAGTTGTGTGCCAAGGCAAGTCCAGTATAACGATGGTCGGGCAGTAATGTACGAGAATCATGACCAGGCAGTTGATGCTCATCGTGTCCCAGAAGTAGCAGACAAATGTTAAGAATCGGTCGTAACTCGACGACTAACTCCCGATTGCCCTCCAGGGGCCAGTCTTGAGAAAGACCCAAATAGTTGCACAACTGTGACAGTGGAAAAGATTGTATATACTTTATCAATTTTAATTTAAAAGTAAGAGAGAATAAACGCCATCGCAATAGCAGCGGCGGCAGAAGCTTCACCCAGGGTCCTAAATCCATGCACGTGAATCGGTGGACAGGCAGTTTAGTATAAAAAAAATACGAACACAACATAACGGAAAAGATGAAAACCGCCAGTCCCAAAGATGATGTTTAAAAAGAGTTGATGCGAGGGTGATTAAAGTGTCTTTCGTTAAGTGTCTTACTATAGGAGTTTCGAAACTGCGACCCACATGTAGTTGATGTAAGGCTATCGTCCGAGTTGTGTGACAGGTACGAACCGAAGGTGCCTCAGTTGAACGACTTAATAGTTACTAATAAAGTGCAACTACTTCTCCTCCCTTTCACGCAACATAGAAGCATGTCAAATAAAAATACCAATTTCATCATTTGAAAGTCCATCCATCACCTCAAAGGTATAAAAGCTATCAGAGTACAATGAGCTTTTTAAAGTGTATACAATGCCCGATCTCTTGACAGCTGAATGAACTTCGCATAGAGCTTCAGATGGATGCAGTGCAAACAACAACGATGACTAGTGTGTTTGATGCCAGTGCCCGGTAAACTGCATTGGACAAAACACACTCCATAAATGTCAGCTGCAAGCTTTTCTTGGAGAAATCCGTTCTAGGACTTACCACGTTGCGTCTCAGTTTGGTGGCTCAGGTTTCGCAAAGTAATTCGGGATTTGCCAAAATATGAATTGGAAACGACGCTTTTGTGGTAGAAAGGGATAAAACGGAGCGACATTCGTCAAACCGTTTAACGATTGTTGACTTGACACTTTAGTTAACCTGATGCTCTACCTGGACAAGTCCAACCTGCGCACAGAACGAAGTTCTTCCAGATTTGCGCAGTATAGTGGGATTTCGAGGAAAACCGCGTCTCATCACAGTCAACGTCATCATCACGAAAACGAACACCAGATGGGAACACTGGTGCCTCATTGTTGTGAAATTAAGTCAATTTACTTGAACAAAGCCTTACAATGGAAAGAAGAAAAATGGAACACGGACGAGAACCTAGGGCTGGAATACAACAAACATTCAAGGTAACTACATCTTGAAGACTCAGTCAAACAATCTGGATAAAAACTGACAGCATGAACGCTACCGACATCGGTTATCCGCCATATCTTTCAGTATATATAGTCAAACGCGGAAGGTCGTGTGGATCTCACTCTGAAGGGCGAACTGCACCAGAAGTGCCCAAATTTTTGCAATATCCTTCACTTCCGGTCATGTCAAATCCTGTCCTCTGGGTTTTTGCCACTCTGAATTGGGAAAACAGTGCCCCTCCCGGCAGGCGATAAATTGATACACGTAACACATGCGCAGCCACCCCGGCTTGCAGTGCTAGATGCATTCACTGAGAAGGGTACTGTCCACTTCATCAAAATCCATCCTGATCACCTCATTCCGAATTTACAGGCTTAGGCCGATTCCAAATACGGTTCTGAGAAACCGGTGTTCAAAGACCGGGAGATGACTCAGACCCTTTGGCCGGTATGGCTATGCTTCGCAGACGTTCAACAATACAGCCCGCACTGTAGTGTGACACACGCGTCCTTTATGATTCGGTCAGATGCTTTTTTGATGTCACAACTAGTACAGATCAGCAACGGAAATTCTGGTCATCAACATTCCTGCGTCAACTTCGTCTGTTACGTTGCCTCCAGAGTTAAAACAACTGCAGAAAAACGCTTAGCGTTTCACAATTTTCACTGTCGCTCCTTGGATTCCTAGAAGCCTTTTCAGAGACTGTAGGTCCCGCATCATGATTATTCACCTCGTGACCATGAAACACATGCCGAAGGACCGGCTGGCCTTGGCACGCTTTTCTAGTAGTGCCTGCGACTCCTACTCATTTTCAAAAAGGAGACAAGATTCTCTATTCCACTGTTCACTTCACCATCTTATCACTGACGGAAGTAAACAGAAATGGGGAGGGTGGATATCCTTGTCGGAGAGCATTGATTGTAGGAAAGCTTTTAGAGAGCTCCATATAAGCTCTCACATGCCCACAAACATGTGAAAGCAAACAGCGCAGGATATACACGAACTTCTGTGACACGCACTGCTGCCCAATTGTTGAGAACTAACCGGTCGACAGAATCCAACGCACTCAAGGAACATCAAGGTTGTAGTTAGTCTGTAACACCGGACGGAGTGTGAAGCTGCGGTTGATGAAGCTTCTGTCCTGGGGAACAAAATGATGGAACGCAGAATCACGGGATATTGCGCGTTACTCGAGCGCGGTTATGTCTAAGGGTAAATTTGTGGTATTAGCCTGGTTTTACTGCGATAAGAGGCCGGTCGAATATTGACGGCCCCTAAGAACCGGCCACAAGCAAACTGACTTTATTCAATAAGACCGAAACTGAAACCTGAACCGAAGTCTGGAAGTGGATATTTTCGAATTCGCAAAGTGAAGATCACAAGTATTCAGGGAACAGTGGATAACGCTTTGAACAGGGCAGTACTACGAGACCCACTACAATTCAGCATGAATGGGACCACAGACATGCGGTCATAACATTAGGAATTTCGAGTAAACATGGAAAAATGCGTTCTCAAAAATAATAATGAAAAGAATTTCATTCGCTTGATCAAAGAGTTGCTCCTACTCTCACTGATTGTCTTTTTTTACGGAGAATAGCCGGCTAATAACGCACTGATGATGTCACCTCGATGGTGATAAAACGTTTGCAATCAAATTGCCCAGCTCAGCGAACAAGCCAACAACCAGTCGGCAATATAATTGCCGAGGGAGGGAGAGAAGGCCAGGTTAGGCTTTCAAAGACGGAGAGATACCCTGAGTAGAGAACGACGATCAAACAACGGAAGATTGTCCCATAGGAACAAGAGAAGAGAGGCTGAAATTTCACTGGGCTCCACAGGATACTCCACCTATTTAGGAGAGGTATCACGAAACTTATACCCTGGCTCCTCTTGGGGGCGATTAACTGGAGTGGGGTATCCAGCTGGCTTTTTGAGAGTTACAAACTTAGAATGGACCCTTCTGTAAATATTTCTGTACGATACATACATGATAAGTAAATCACAGCCGCTTAGCAAAATAATTTCTCCAGATAATCGCGTCATCTTGAACTTTTTCACGATTGTCATTCAGAAAACCAATAAGAATGTTAGTATGATACCTAGGAACCACGTGACATCCGAAGAATCACGACAATCATGCCGCCATGCAAAAGGATTAATTGTAATTGGAATCGATTGCGCTATTTCGCGATGTGGAACTCGGGATACTTAAACGTGTGCACCTAAGGTAGGATAAGGTAACAAACCTGTCGGTTGGAACGGAGTTAGTAACCTGAATTTCACGAAATATGGGTTTTCTTTCAATGTGTTTCTGAAAAGTTCATCATCAAGAATCCGTCATGATGAAACTCACAAATATCAACCGGAATCCGATGTTCATAGAAATAAATATGGACGGTATGTTCCACCTTCGCGAGGAAAAATCAGCACAAAGAAACTCTTGTATACCGAACCCAGAAATCCTCAATGGGAGGCCCGAAAGTCTTCTGAATTCAGTTGAAATCAACAATCTTTTATACAATAAAGAGACCGCCCGATGTTTCTCAGAATGACAAGAAACTTTGTGTCGGAAGCCTCATCCGAATGCTGTGCAGAAAATAAACCTAAGGGTGGATGATGCTAGGAAATGAGCAGGTTTGAGGTGAGCTGACAAATCGAAGTGATGACAGTAAGCCAACATGAGGCGCGCGAAACAAGACCAAGATGATATCATGTGTGCAACAAACGCAAAAACAAATGATAAACTAACCAATTTGGCCTTCGCCACGGTAAGATTTAACACTTCATTCGGATTGGTTACGGGTAACTCGGTCACCGCCAACCGATGCAAGCGCCGGTCGGGGTCTGTCAGCATGGCTGTAAGTAAATCCGGATCCCGCCACAAAGCCAACCGAAACAGCTCACATACTACTAGACACTGATCCGCAGTTTCCAGTTCACTCAGTTCTGAAAAGCGAAGGGGTGGTGTAAAGCACATGCCATTGGCGGAAAGGACAACAAAATCTGATGGTTGAGAAATGTACAAATAAAGGCTCCAAACGAGAATTCGCCAGCGGGTACGCCACCAGATACTTTACCACTAAAAGCATGGGGCATATAGATGCAAACTATCGCTACGGCTTGGTAGCACAAACCGAACTGTACAGTGGAACATAACCGGGTGATCACACAATGCACAGCAAAATTACTGAATGAAACGTCGAACAGCCTCATTCAACACGTTAGCTGTGCAATTATTAGGATTCCAAACAGGAACAGACAAACCATTGCATCCAAACTCATTCACCTCCCCCGAAATCAGCTCAGAAAAGACTTATCGATGCCAAGCAGGCTTTGGTATGAAACAAGCACAAATTCCAAAACCACCAGCTACTCTAACATCACGTTAAAAGTGCAACTAGACAAGATTTCAAATCATTAGAAAGCGCCCATACTACTGAACACATTTAGCCAATAATCAGACATCTGTAAACTGTGTTGTAGTGGAACCGCACGCTAGCTCTGCAGGCATCATGCTACGCAACACTTCAGGACTAAATTCGCGTTTCGGTACGAGAACAATGTTGCAACGCGGTCAGTTATCTTTGAAACACAGAACCGTATGTAGAAATTTAGAATAATCATGCTTATCACGCTGATGTTTGGTTACATGAATAGACAAACCTAGAAAAATATCGGTTTTCGAAAGTATCACTTTTACGTTACCCAAGTGAAGTTGAGACCTGAGATGGCAATATCGAAACCGTTCGGGAAACTACTTGCGTACGAAGCGTACATAGAAGGCGCAGCTCGTTCTACTTACTTCAGTACCTTGCACGCATTTATTACTGTAACCGAGTGACTCGGCAGAATACAGAGGCATTTTAAGCCGAAAATGAGTAACTTCAATGGATTTTTGTTCACTAACGAAAAGTACCATTCGAGTGCGGGTTTCTCCAAAGAGGTGTGGAAAGGGCCGAGAAGTTCGTTTTTATCTCCTATCAAATTTTCCTCGTTAGATGTACACACCACGCAGTGAGTAAACTGTACTGGACCGAAGCTCGTCAGGCAGAGGAGAGGCAGACGGAGAAATAATAACTATTAAGGCGTACGTACAATCATAATAATTTGAGAAAGAAGTGAGATAAGCCTGGAAAATACAAATGTACCTAGCAGAGAGTAGTGCTCAGGGTTCAGGTTGACAGACGATTGGCTTTCAACAACAAGCTTGGTGACATCCACAGCCAACTCAGCTTTCGTGGAATGGTCGTCACCAGACCACAGAAGATGAACGCGATGTGGAAGTATGTCCGAGGAGAGGGGTTCCTGGAAAAAAGTATGCAGAAAAGAGTTCACCAAAAAGTAAATGAGGCCTCAAAACCGGTTCACTGCGAATCACTTAAGTGGCAGTAGCAGTTTTACAGGACTGAAGGAAGCTACTTCAATTGCGCTGTGGAATTTGAATGGCTGACTGAAGTCGACCGAGTGCCTTGCTGTCAGTATGTTCATTATGCTGGATGATGCAGTGTATCTAGTTGCTGACTGGCGGTGATTATCATATCAGCAAACACCGAGTGATTCGGAATATGTTGAGCTATTTTTTTCGGGAAAGACGCCAGCTACGGTTACATCGTTCAGCGTCGCCACAAGTGTGGATGTCCTGATAAGGGACATGGTCTTATGGCATCTGTCAGTAGGAGAACAGATAAGCTAGTAAACGGGATTGACAACTCTCTCAGAGATCGGCCGAAATGCGCACGACAACAAATACCATGTTGTCGACGTCCCCTCCCAGTCAGTCGTTCACATCAGTGTCACGTAATAAAAAACATACCATTTCCGCTAGAACAACGAGTCTAGAGTGTTTAGGGTCCCTAGAAAATCGTCCTCTTGATTTTAGTGGTTCCTGCCTCTTGCTCCCAGAAGCTGTGTGGGACTCCAACCATCGTTTCGTTTAAATCCATACATATTAAACCATATAAGTGGAAGTCAGCTACCACGGCTCCTGTGGCCAGGTGTATGGATTTTAGCGCACGCTAAACGCACTAAACAATGACATATTAAAGCGATTGTGATCAAGGGTAACCATGAGTTTCAAAATTTTGTTCCATATGTTTAGCCACCAATCGGGGTAATGTCTACGTGCGTGTTGGTGTACTGGTAGGTGTATAGAGACTAGTGGGGTGCTTTGAGATTGGATTGTTCAAGAACAGAGTAGTCCAGGGTGACCCGTCTAACGATCAGAATCTCGCCATTTGCATTACAAACAAGGTGAATATTGACGCTACTGAATAAAAAATAGTTACCTGGGTAAAACAGCCCCCCTTTAAACGTGACCTGGCCAAAATATCAACAAGACTGATACCGGTGACTGAATAACACAGTAGATACGAAAAAAGGTAAAAATTAGGGGGAACATGGGGGACGATATTTGAGTAATGCTTGCTGGAACGCCCTAAAGATTCAGTCTGTCAACCAAACCAAAATAGCTTCCAGCTCAAGCGAGTTGCGATGGCAATGTGAGACTTCAGTTCAGTAAAATGGTTAGCTCAACCGAATCGTCGGCCGTTACAAAGAATAGAGAGAACAGTGCTGAGAGCCAAAAGACTGAAAAATTGTGAAGCTGTAGTTTTCAGCCAAAAGATATACGGTCAACCACAGTCGGTAGTGTCCTGAACATTAACAACAATCTGAAAGATTCCATAGCCCACATTACGTTGAGCCGAAAACCAAGTGACATCCAGGTACATCCTACATCCGACAGTTGAGGAACAAAGGCAACTTAGACAGACCACATCCATTACGTCTCATGTGACGATAACTGAAGATGCATTCAATCATTCTAAACCGTACTTCTCGCCACTAAGAACAAAAGGCAGCCCGATCGCCTCCCCAAATTAGAGTGGCCAGTGTTCATGTATTCAACATTTGTATACCTCGGTTGGTGATGTTGAACCCACCAAAACACGTCATTAGCCAATGTGTGAAGTGGTATATCCCAGCTCCCTAAAAGAGAATGCCTTTACTATTCCTTCGTGGCATAAGCTTGTCATCTTAGAATTGTAGCAATTTTTCGGGACAGCTTCAGTGGGCCTTATCACAGTGAAGCTTTCTGTGCTGATAACTTTCGATGCATGAAAGCGATGAAAATTATGCTGGATTATCAGTGTTTCAGGAACAATGGTTACAGAATAGTGCAGTAAAAATTGCAGAGTTTCATCAGTGACTGTGGTCTGGATAAGTAATTGCAACAAACTCCCCTTCAGTTCTGTTTAATGAGATTTCGGTTCTAGGCAGCTGCAATAGCCCACCAAAAAGTGATCAGTCACAGAAGAATAGATTGGACGATTTCTGAAAACCGGTTAATTCCGGCAAACCCATATCCACTAGAAGGATATTGCTTGGCCCCGTGGTCGATCACTTGAGACTGTTAACCAAAGAGACAGGTGACCCATTCCTTCAACAAACCAATAAATCTCAAAGGTGAGAATGAATTTTACGGGGTTCGACTGCAAGTCACCTATCTCCTTAATTTCACTGGTGCTATGCAACCGGGAATTGCTCACGCCAAAACTGCCATCAACCGGCCAATGATAAGTGCAATATGATGCGGTATGATAGTTATCCTCATCTAAGGGACTACATAGAAGGGCCGATCAAAAGTGGGCCTTTGGATGACGATCACCCTGGGATCAGTCTAACCACAGGATATAAGCGTATTCCAATTTCCGTGACAACCTCCATATAAATAAGACCTCTGAAGAAAAACAAGAACTGTACCTAACGACTTATTTGGCGCCATTCGACAGCCCTGCCTGGCATATAACTCAAATAATATATCCAGCTGTGCAAAAGTAAGACATATTTCATATTGGTTGAAATAAGCAAAAAAACACTACTTGAATTGTTTTACAAGGGTAATTTTTAGCTTGGTAACAAGCCTTCGCCAATGTAATGTGGATGGTTTTACGAATAGAAAACTGCACTGTTCTTTTAAAACCATCTTCATTTCGGGCTCACCTTATTGAAACAGGCAACACTATATTACTCATTGAATACGTACACAGCCAGTAACATTAGGTAATACGGCTACCCGTCAACTGTTTACTGGTCCCACAGCCTTTCTTGAGCCTTGTGAATTGCCTGTCCGTGCCACCTAGCTCACCAAACACTTTCCGGACCAATCGAAACATCAAATGCAACGGATTTACAAGAGCATGATGGATGATACTGATATGAAATTGAAAGGATAGCTATCGCAGTTGACGTTACAGTTACTGTATTGGAAGTAACAGTAACTCCTATTCAAAATCAAACATGGAATTTGAAAAAATATGGAATAAGATAAACTCATACTTACGTCAAACAAGATGGGGACAAAAGAGCGCCTGATATCTTCAAAACAGTGATTATTTGTGTCTGAAATAGAGGTTGTTAAAACCAACTTGGTAGTCACACCTATTTCCTTTGTAGCCTCCAAGCCAAACTGCGGTACATTGTTGAGACCAACTGATAGAGTGTTCAATAGGGTTTCCAAAACTGCCCCGAGTGGTGTAGAAGCCACATCAGCAGGCAGAGAGCTTNGTTTTGTTTGTTGGTCAGGTAACCACAGAGGTGGTTGCTAAACGTATTACAGTTGTGATCGAAGAGACGGTAATGTCCGCCCCTAAACGAGTTAATATGGCATTAGTGTGCAAAGATGCTTACCGGAAAGAAGTGAGTGCAAGATGTTCCAAGTAGCTGGATAGTTCGGCTTCCGTCACAGATGTCTGGCCCATGTAAACTTTCTGACCAGGTTTACCCAAAACCGTATGTTCCTGTGTAATGATAAACTGGTTTGAGATTAGGGTGAATACACGTGAAGCATGACAGGGTTCTCAGACAATAACCAATCTGACCTGGAAAGCCTACATGACCTACACTGTCATCAACCAGTATGGACATCAGGCTATTGATCGATATCGAAGTAGGCTGACAACAGAGCGGACATAGTCTGAAGCAAGCAATGTCCTTTATTGCAATGTATCCTCAGTAATCATGAGCCATGAGTTCTCCTTGGACTAAAAGATGTCGGACTCCCTACAACTCCTATTACGTCAGGGAAAGATGCCAAAGTCGTATCAACCAGAAACAAGTGACAGCAACAACATTTTTTCACATCACCAATGAAAAATAGAATCGGTCTGTGGAGTTACGTGGCTCTGCCCATACTAAACGATACCATAGTCCTATTTCTTCTAGCTTGCGTTGGACACCATTGGGCAATTCGGCTTTGGGAACTTACCAACTTATTACAAATGGATATTTCTGGTTGTGCGGTGTTCTTTTCAGAGATGGGGTATCCGTTCAGTCACCATTAAATAGTAATGAGGTAAGTCACAGAAAACTTGAAATTTGTCTCATAAACCCACTATGAATGCTTTTTAGCATGAATTTCTTCGGCACAGCACAACGAATGAAGAATTTTTACCATATGCTGACATTCAATCATCAGAACAAAAGTGGAGATGTTGCCCATTATTCTCAAACACTCAAGCAGCCTATTATTTCATCACTCACCAAATGGCCCAAAAACGTCTCTCTCTAGTACCTTTCCATTTGAGTTACTTGTTTGTGCTTTGGTTATTATTATTATTATTATTATTATTATTATTATTATTATTATTATTATTATTATTATTATTATTATTATTATTATTATTATTATTATTATTATTATTATTATTATTATTATTATTATTATTATTATTATTATTATTATTATTATTATTATTATTATTATTATTATTATTATTATTATTATTATTATTATTATTATTATTATTATTATTATTATTATTATTATTATTATTATTATTATTATTATTATTATTATTATTATTATTATTATTATTATTATTATTATTATTATTATTATTATTATTATTATTATTATTATTATTATTATTATTATTATTATTATTATTATTATTATTATTATTATTATTATTATTATTATTATTATTATTATTATTATTATTATTATTATTATTATTATTATTATTATTATTATTATTATTATTATTATTATTATTATTATTATTATTATTATTATTATTATTATTATTATTATTATTATTATTATCAGTGGTTGAAGTAGTAGCAGTAGTAGTAGTAGTCGGCGAGCTGAACCACCTCCTCGTGGTGCCGACCGGGTAGCCTGGACGTCAGTCTGGGTGAGCTAAGAGTTCAGCAACTCCAGAGAGGGCTAACCACCACGTTTGGTTTCAATATGCTGGTTACTTTCGACAATGTACACTACGAATCATCTGGCGCCTCCGCACCAGTTCCAATCAGTACACAGGAGAGACTCATTGGGTTCGCGTGTGAGGAATGTGGCAAGTGCTGCAAATCGAAAGCTGGCTCGGTAGCCCACCACCGAGTTCACGACAATGAGAGTGTTGGTACGAACACAGTTGCCCAATTGGCCTGCGCTGAGTGTTCCCGCCTTTTTTCGACGAAGATTGGCCTGAGTCAACGCCGCCGGCACGCACACCCCACCCAGCATAATACAGACAAGCTTGGCCGAGTGAAGTATTCCAGTATGCGCTGGTCCCAGCAAGAGTCACAATCACTCTTACGCCTGGCTAACAATTTATATCCATCTTGTGGCACGCAAACCGGGCTGTTCACGAGATTTGAGCAGCATTTTCCTGGTCGACAGGCTATCAGCATCAAAACCAGGTTACGGGTGCTTAACTGGCAAGCACAACAGGACGAATCATCATCTGGTGGACCCAACTATCGGTCAAATGACGGCCTACTCTTCAGAAGCCGATGACTACAGCGTCTGGTTTAAACAAACTGTGGATTGCGCCGTGTCACTCTTGGAATCCCATGCTGACCGTTCGCTTGCTAGTATTGACCTTCTGACATTTGCCCGAAGGTTGCAGTTTGGCATCATGACACCGGAGCAAGTCCTGTCGCTTCTGGACCTCCACGCCTCCAGCACATTTCCACACACCTGGAAAACTGTTTCCCGATGTCGCCGTCAGTTATCCCATTGGATTCCGGTCAACCGAAATCAGATCCGCCGAGCCAACTACGCCACCATTCATACCTTATACCACCAAAGACGGAAAGATGCAGCGTTTGCTGTGCTCGATGGGTCATGTAAGGATTTATACAAAGGTAACTGCGGCCTACCTATGGACGCCGAGCTGCAAAACACGCGGATAGTCGACCAAGTCTCACAGTAGTACTATCCGACTGGAGCTTGATCGAGCCAATTACAGGACAGGAAGTCGGCCGTACGATCCGTTTAATGGGCAATTCGTCCCCAGGCCTGGACAAGCTCACACCCAGGATGATCCGCCGGTTCAATGCTAATGTGGTCGCTGGGTATTTCAACTTACTGTTATTAACTGTGGGTTGTCCCCCACATCTGTGTCGAGCCCGTATTACTATAATTCCGAAGGTCCCAACTCCGACTTCATCAGACCAATTGAGACTGATCTCCGTGTCATCGATTCTTGTCCGATGCTTCCATAGGGTGCTTGCTGATCGCTTGAGTCGTAGATTGCAACTGCCCTCGCTCCAGTTTGCATTTCTACATTGAGACGGTTCACTGGAAGCTATATCGCTGTTACATGCCCTGCTTCGTCACTATTTAACTACTGGTTCTAACTGAGCTTGGCGTACGTTGATATCTCCAAGGCTTTTGATTCGGTTTCGGATGAAACAATCGTCAGATCCGCCGAGGCGTTTGGAGAACCGCCACCTCTAGTTTGATACATTGCACAGCCCTATGAGAATGCTGTAGCAGTTTTCCCCAACTTTTAGGTTCACTGCCACAGAGGTATGAGGTAAGAAGATTAACCCTCCACGTTATTGTTCATCATGGCAATGGATGACGTTCTAGAATTTTCGATGCCGCAACCGGGATACCAGCTCCATGACACTCTAGTAGATGGCTTTTATTTTGCTGACGACTGGGTTGTGTGTGCAGAAAGTCAGGTTCGCCTTAAAGAAAAGTTTGAGGCTGCTGCGGTTGAGTTGGGAAGGGCTGTTGTGATGATAAACGCTCGAAAAACGAAAGCAATGGTGCTTTGTGGGGAAAGGAAACACCTGGCGAAAGCAGTCTCAGTCGAACGGTTTTGCTTCGCCGAGGAACTCATCACCCCTCTGGGTCCGACGGACACCGTAACATAGTTGGGCACTCCCTTCACTTTCAAGGGGAAAGGGGCCTTCAACCACCGACAGCACCTGATCAAACTGCTCGAAGAAGTGACGCGTGCCCCGTTGAAGCCGCATCAAAGAATGGATATCACGAGGAACTACCTGATACCAAGGCTGACATATTCGCTCGTGCTCGGCCAAGTCCACAGAGACACGATAAAAAGATTGGACAACTACATCAGGCAATATATTCGTGGCTGGCTACGTCTACCGAAGGACACCCCAATCAGCTACATCCACGCCGGTAAACAACATGGGGGACTTGGTATCCCAAGTCTGAGTGCAACAATCCCGATGCAGCGGAAAACCCGTATGGAAAAGCTCCTCTCTACTCAGTGCCGAGTACTACGCAATGTGGTCAACGACTCCGCATTCGGCAAAATTGTTCGGGATCTCAGCCTTCCGATCCGAGTCCATGGAGCATGCGTAAACACCAAGGAGCAGCTGGTGGCTGCTTGGGGTGAAAGTCTGCACAACAGCGCTGACGGTCGCGATTTACGAGAGTTGGTCACTTCGCCTCTCTCGAATCGATGGCTCGTATTCCCAGAACGAGTGTTTCCACGGATATTTATCCGGGGTATCCAGCTCCGATGCAACCTGCTTAGGACGAGAGTTAGAAGCGCTCGGCATAGTCATGGGATCGCCGTGCAACTGTAATAGACGTCAGCATAGTCTCAGATGGGCGTGGAGTGACCGTGTGGAATGAGAAGAAGCAGAAGTATGGTGCTGATTAATATTCCCTGGCCATAATCTCAGCCCTACATGCCATCGGTTGTAATGTCGACTTTTCGGTTCACCAACCGATGATCATCTCCTCAATCCGCTAAGGCTGTTGTTGAACTGGGACTTCCTAAGGTCGCAGTCAGTGACCTGTGTTTACTTGCCATTGTAGGCTCTCTGCGTACTCATGACACTTATGCGCGGCACATGGCGTTGGATGTACATTTTTGCCATTTAATCTCACACCAGACCCAGTATGACGGAAACTTTGTGCCTGATGTGCAAGTCTTGACTCTGCTAGTGCCTACCGCGCCTTGAAGAGCATTCACTATTGTTTGTCCTTTCTTCGGTTGTTGTTCTTTAGACGCTGGTTTCCATATCAAAGTCTTTACATAATTTGGGATTCATGTCATCAGACTGGAACTGTTCTTGGCATGATTTCGAATGAGACGTTTCTTTCTTTTCTGCCATATTCTCGTCACTCTTTCGCATTCATCGCTTGCATTCACTTTTTATGTTTGTGACCATGCTCTTCAAAAATAAATGATAATAAATAGTAAAATTGGGAACTAGTTTCAGGGATAGAGATAATGGCCTCTTCCCCTTGTACTTGAGTATGCCATTCGCAAAAACGAGGGGTTGAAAAGCAGTATCAAACCCCATCAATGTAACCAGCTTCCAGTACTTATCGACAGGCCCCAGCCCTCAAAGAAGCGGAGTAGGTTGCGAAAATGATATTCCTGCTGGTACGCCTTCCACTCACTACTAGTGACAAATTTGGAGTCTATGACATGTGGGCGCTAAGTGGAAGCCAGAAACCACCAAATCAACATTGCCTTTTTCATGTCGGTCAAATTCTTGAAGTGACAGCGCTGTAATATAATTCGAAAGGTGACTGGACGAGAGGTACAGAAAAACTAAATACATCTACTGATCAGAGAGAAAAAAAGTAAACGGTTAACCACTTACTGGTGTGCAAAAAGAAATACCATGGCTTCCGTAAAAATATTCCTTATTATGCAAGACCACGCTTGTATGCCAAATCCCATCAATTTGTTTGCCTAAAAAATTATGTAGTCAAAGAATGGACGATACACACCCAGTGCAATTGGACTTAGGGCCTTTACGACACCACAGGACAAATCATATACGTATAGGTATACATCAAACATTACTAAACAGTAAGTGTATCGGAAAACTGATTGGCGCGCCCCAACCGATTCCCCACAGTTCGTCAGTAAGAAAGGTGGAACAAAAGCTGTAAGGAAGAAAAGCGATGTGGTTACCAGATATAAAAGTTGATGCGGACCCCATGAATGTGAGTTTCGAGAAACACGAGGATAGTACTGGATATCTAAAGCAGATCGGTCGCTTTTAAGTAGCATCACAAGCGGGTAATTGTGAAACCAGCTCCATCAGTCTGAGGAAGCAGTAGCGGTAAGGCGAGCAATTTACCGCTGGTGACGGTTGGTGCACTCAAAGAACTCATCAGTAGCGGAAAAATTCACGAAATCAGTCTTCAGGAGTGTGGATTGATTAACTTGCATGAATAAAGACAATTCACCAATTCTGTTAATGTGACGCGGAGTGATGAGTTTGTAGATGAAAGGTGAACGGGTGGGCCATTTCATTGAGGGTGGCTATAGGGGAGCATTCTGGAACATGAGGTCTCAAAATGCAGGAATCTGTGGTACCCGACGACAGGATTAGTGAACGATTGAAGAGAAGGTTGTCGTTAGGTGGAGAATAATGGGCGGCTTACTTCTAAGATCCTATCAATTTGGCTACTCTTAGATGGGTGTATGCTCAAAGTAGAAAGATACTTCAATATCGGTTCAAAGCCTTTAAGGATAGGCTTACTAACCACGTGTGGACTATGATTTTGTAAATTCTCTTCTTTCATATTTTACATGTGGTCCTCTGATATCAAGGTCCCTACCACTTGTGATTTTACGTTTTTTGTAATAAATCAAGCAGTTGAAAAGAGACTATGCTTAAGAGACGAGCACTGCCCCAACTCAGTATACGCTCAACTCCGTCAAAAACAGTCTAGACCTCATGTGCTACGTAGTGCGTGCACTTTTGTTACCTGTACAGCTATCTTCGAGGTTGTCCGTGTGACATTCAAAGACCCTCGATGGGCATAGGCCAGACTAGCGCAGCTTCCTTGTGCTACAGGTTGAAAATTGAAACCTATGCGGCGACATGTTCCTTAGAAGTTGCGCTACTCTGGTAGACTCCCGACAACTCTCGTCGCCTTGGAGTGAGGTATTTCAGCCAAAGAATTCGGTTAAGGACACGGATCGTCAACTTGTCAGGGTTTGGATGCCCTGGTAGTATATCAGCCTACCTACGACCGTGGACTGAACGCATGACAATAATTTCATGCATCATCGACCGTCCACATGATGCTATCATCCGGGTCGTCTTACTTAGTGTACACAGCAGGGTTGCTACGCGAAACCAGCTTAATGCTGGCAGCTCTAATCTTCTTTCCTATCCATTTTAACAACTAGCTTTGTGTAGACCCTAGGTACAGACGTCAGTCTTGCATGAAAAAAAGTGACCAATAACATGTCACCGCCCACGTTTCTCTTCGAGTCCCTTCTAAAACTTTGTTCCACTGTTTTTATAGACAATTTGGTATCCGGACTTTGAAGCGAATCGCCCACCAAGCCGCCCTGGTACACTTTTGACACCTTGTCTACAGATAATTGCAGCGTGTCCGAAACTCAGATACAACATTCACGTATGGTAAGCGAACTTGGGCCACACTCATCAACTAATATTACCGCCTACTAAATTGGGGTGATTCTGCATCTGCTGCAACGGGGTTACACCAGCATTAGTATAGCTCTCAGCTCCCGAGCTGAGGCTCATATACTAAAGTTTTCTCTGTCCGTTCGCCAACTTCTACAAGAACCAGCAGTTTCCGAAATCACGTTTGTTCTGAATTCCCAGTGTCTCCGTATCCACAAACGAACTGTAGCTCTGATTCGGTGAGACACTTTTTATCGTGAAATAACCACTCTCCTATCCGATACGAGAAGTCCAGCTTTTACCCAGTGATATCAATCAGTAAACAAGGCATTTGAATTAGTCAAAGGTGCGACTTGGTCGCCTGTTCAGAATTATTGACAATTGTGACAATCATTAGCTTTGCACTGATCCTCAATCGTTCCTCAGAAATACTACTGACAGATGCAGTAACCACGGTTGTTACCCTTTCTAAGGAGCCAGATTGAGCAAATGGCCTCCATCACATAGTGCCACGGTTCTGATCTTGAATCCTGGCGTTTTTGGACACTCCTGTCGTCCGGTGAATATTTTTGCCAAGCTCTTCAAGGGAGAAAAGCTTCATTTAGTCACCGATAAACTTTCTGACCTCAAGTTATTCTTATCAATCTATCCTACGCGAAGCTTTAAAAGACGAATCATTTACAAATGGGACGAGATGAGCGCAAAATTCACAGGGTAAGAAACTAGGCACATTGTGTTCCGAAAGCCTGGTCAAATAAGTACTGGAATGCACAACGGTCAATACCGCCCCTTGTAGCGAGACATCGGAGCCCTTTAAACCTTAAGCAAAACTCAGCCTTAAAAGGGCTACAATTAAATCCGTCAACAAGAGACTGAACCTTACTGTGGTGTTACGGTTCGCGCACCTCAGCAACCTGTTGAGCGATACTGGGGGTGTCCCCGCGACACGCAGTCTCTCATACCAGGTCGGTCAACAGTTAGAGGTCTGATGAAAAGTCTCCTGGTCCTCCAGGTTGAGGGTTGGAACATATGGCCACTTGTTTCGTAGAAATGGTAGTGCATCTGCATTTCCCGCCAAACACCGCTGCCTTGTGGTTAGGCTTTTGAGTCAAAGGCTTTGGTTGAGGACCCTAATCGTCCTCCTGTCTAGGTGTGGGCGCCCTGGCAGTATCCTAGCCCACGTACAACCATGAATTGCACATAAGCAACTAAACTCATGGCATATCGGCCATCGCGTGGTGCCACCAGCCGGGTTGGCTTACTTGCTGCATACAGAAAGTTGGGTAAGCGAAAACAAACTACTGCTGACGCCTCACTTCGTTTTCAACATACTTTTCCTTCCCCTTCTTACAACCCCATTATTAACACTCCTCTTGTAGGCCCAGCAGTTAAGACTGATGACCCCGTTCGTCTTGCATCGGTTCCGCGTGTAACATCTGCCCGCCACATGGCGCCAACATACTCAGGTGTCTCCGAATCCATCAAGCCTCAACAACCAGTATGTCTAGCCACCTTCAATGTTTGCACTCTGTAGCAAGCAGGACAACAAGCTGCTCTTGCTCTCACACTGGATCCACTCGGCATTGATGTATGCTGTGTCTCACAAAGGAGAAATCAGGATGCAAGCGCAGCAATTGAGCTAACCAATCTGCCACTCTCCACTGGCTTCCGGCTACGCCCCTTGGATGAATTATTCTTGCTTGACTGGATACCTATTGATAGTTGCCTCTGCGCGGTTCGTCTGGCAACGTCTGTGAAGGAGTCTCACGAGCGGCAAGTTGATTGATGTGTGTTTATCGTGTCTGCTTACGCCTCAACTGACTTTAGCTCCGACGCCGTTAAAGACAGGTCTTATGACGCCATGAATGCCCAGCTGCGGCAAGCTAAGAGCTCGGACATCGTGCTGGGTGCCGGAGATATGAATGCACAGTTAGGAGGTCGACATGGATTGGATTCGGTACGTACAGACAGTAGTGAACGATTGCTTCAGCTGTGTGCTGACCGCAAGCCATTTTTATGCAGTACTAACTTCCGAAATAGCCGAAGTCATCTGGCCACATGGTGTACTCCGACAGCACGCAGGCCACAAACTCAAACCGACTACATTGCCATCCGATACCGATGGCCCGGATCCTCCAGTCATTTTGAAATACAACTGTGAATTCCATCCGGAGTGGCGTCTCCCTACGTAGGGTTCGGACAAATCGCTCGACAATTGAGAGGCTGGCAGACCCAGATGCTGGACAAACTTACCAGAATCGTCTTCCAGAATCTCTTCCACATGCTCCACCATACTGGAACGAGATTAGCACCTCTTTGCAAAGTGCTGGGAATTTTGCCTGTGGCACGGCATCACCAGACGCACGCAATCACTAGATATCAGACCCAACGGTGGCACTGCTTAAATCTCGGAGAAATATTCCAGCCGGTCCCGAACATAACTAGGTGCGTCGAATTACCACACGTCAGGTGAAAGTGAGCGTGCGAGCCGACCGTGAAGTTTGGTGGACACACAAGGCCAAGGATACGTAAGAGGCCCTGAAAGCCGGTAATGCCGGAAGACTATTTCAGTTGATCCGTACTACCGACCCCCAGAAACTGTGAGCGAAACCATCAAGCATTAGAATGAAACGACCATCTTGAATAGAGAACGCCCCGAACGGTGGGTTCAGCACTTCGAACAACTGTCGTGGCCACAGGGTGGAACTCATCTAGAGCCCACAGTTGCCGTATAACCCTGGAAGGTGAACGCAGAACCACAAAAGGCCTTAAAAGTTTACAACGTATATGCCACCGAGCTTTCGGTCCAGATGGCCTCCCAATTACATCGTTAAAGGATGTGAGTAGTCCTGTCATCGCTTGTCTGATGTTAGTTTGCATTTGTTAAAAGGAAGCTGTCCCAGACAACTTGGGAGAGTAGGCGATAGTGCCCATTTTCAAAAGAGGGGCTCGTAGAGAATGAGGGGCCGGCTTGACCCGGTCGTAGCGAGACTGTTGGCATAAATTGTGCTTCTGGCCTTACGGTGGTTCGTGAGACAGAGTGGAGAGCTGCAAGCGGGATTCCGGCCTGGTAGGGATTGCATTGACCACATCTTCACACTCCGTCTGGTGCTAGAACAACGCCATACGTATAAGCGATCTACAATTCTAGTACTTCCGGATTTCCAAGGCGCATTCCACTCGGTTGATCGGTTTGTTCTTAATACACTTGCCCACCAAGGAATGCCCAGGATGTTTGTGAACATAATACATTCTTTGTATTCTCACACTTCCCCACGTAAGAGTATATGGAGAACTCTCAAAAAGCTTCCGTCCACAAAGCGCTGTCCGTCAGGGACGCCCACTCTCTCCATTTCTTTTTAACTTCGTGATCAACGAAATAGTGAGGCTAATGCTGGAAGGTCCCCAAAAACCTGGTGTTAAATAGCCTGTGAAGAAAGTCGTGTCGATCTGAAATATACACACGACATTGCTCCTGTCTTCGAAGAAAAGAGGCCACAGGTGTTATCGGATGAACGGACCAAAGTAATCCTGTTCTTTGATACGAACTCTGCACTCACAAAATGTAAGGTCATGCTCCTGGACATACAGTCACTGAACACCCCACTGTTCGTCACCCATTACCGTTAGTTGCGATATCCACGGTTGACTTAGCCGGCAGGACAGTATACACCTGGACGTAACCTTCTTCGTTTGATAAATACCCCCACATGCAGTCAATCCACTGGGGTCTATACAAATTAATAGTTGAATAAACTTATCCACCACGTCTACTGGTCGGTTTGCAAGCCTTGGGTTTGAGTAAGAGAATTTTCAAGCTCAGAGCACACACATTCATTGGACAAAATTTTTTCTCATTTCGGGTAATAGGTGCGTGGAACGACCTTCCTCCGACGGTTGTCCACGCTCCTTCTAGAACCCAGCTCAAAGCACTACTAGACATTTATTTATGCGAATCCTCGCGCTGGAAAGCATACTTCCCCACGCTGAGAACGTAAACAGCAGTGCCACACCCTTTTCTCACTTGTGCCTTTAAGATGAACGACAGCCACCGACCGACAAGAACAAAAACGAACCGGGAAACTTGGGCAAAAGCCTCGATCCTGTATATCAATCCATGAATCCGTGAGTGTGACCCAACCCAATGTTCAGAAACACGCCGCTCTGAAACATTTTACACCTAGCATGTGTAGAGTGCATACCAAATAGTGACACAAAAATACTCGGCTAATTTAGAACGACCTGTATCTTCGAAGGATTTGAACCAAGGGGAGTAATACTGTCCACTTAGTCAACATTTGAGATCAAACCTGAAGAACCTCGGTACTGGACGTTTCAGAGGCACGGAAGGGAGTTGCAAACAGCACGACCTCAACACTACTGGAATTTGTGAACCCAGACCAAAGGTTATTGCATGTATAAATGCATACCGGGATAAAGGCATTTACCCAAAGGGACAGAACGTAACAGGATGCAACACCAGTAGCCAGGACAACAAATTTTAAGCCAATCAAATTGGCCTATCAGGGTCAGATTCACGGATTGATACACAGGATCGAGGCTATTGCCCAAGTTCCCCAGGTCGGTTTCGTTCTTGACGTTCAGAGGCTGCGGTTCACCTGAAAGGCACAAGGGAAAAAAGGGCGCAGCATTGCTCTTTATGTTCTCAGAGCGAAGCAGTATGCTTGCAAGCGCGATGATTCGTGCATTTAACTGTCTAGTAGTGCTCAGAACTGGGTTCTAGAAGGAGCGTGGATAACCGTCGGAGGAAGATCATTCAACGCACCTACTACCCGAAATGAGAAAAAATTTTGCCTAATGAATGTGTGCGCTCTGAGCCTGAAAATTTTCCTAATGTGTCCCCGCCGTGTATATGCTGGATCAACAGGTGAAGAACCTGCTGGCTAAACTTTATTCAAACAGGGAATAAGTAAGAATTAGGTCCTCCCTGAGGTGACGTTACTACAGAAAAAAGAGATCAAGCATCGCGAGACGGGTAACGTGGTCCCCAGATTCGAGGCCGACAACCAATTTCGTAGCGCCTCGCCGGACATGCTCAATGAGGGTGACGTCTTTCGTGCGTCCTGAGTAGACAACTTGGTTGGTGTATTTCAGGAGCGGTCTTACGTAGGCCCCATAGAGTATTTGGAAATCCATGCGAGTAACGCAGAAGAAGGTGCGGCGGATCGTCCGTAAAATGGCGAATGCCTTTTAGGCCGATTTCTCATGGTACAGTGAGACGGACAAGTTTGAGGAGACCCAGATAACAAAATCCTTTTTCTATCTATCCTCATGATGTTTTCTGGCCCTTTCCCACCATGCGTGACAAAGGCATCTGCTGAGTCTCCTCCAAATGACACATGGATGCACTTTCCGTCATTCAGAGGAAGATGCTAGTCCAAAGACCACTGCTTGGCAGCGTCTACATCCATTTGGAGGGCACTGGTATTGGAACTCCAGGATTTCAAGTCGTCCG